TGAAACCAGATGGTTTCTAATAAACTATTATGGAAGGCTTTAGAGACATGCATGAAATGTTACCTATTCCTAAGTCTTCATTTATCATTATTAAAAAAATAAAGTTCTATGGCTGCCATCTAATCTACAATTTAAAATTAGGAGGACCAAGTTCTCATGCAAATCATGCAGTTCTCCRTATTATTATTGAAGACACCCTAGAATCATCGAATGGTTGAATAGAATGACAGAGGGGAGACCTGTGCCACGATGTGTCTACTACAGAAAGGCAGATGTAGCACTGCTTGTCCCCATGCCAGCATCAGTGCTCGAGGCAATGAGATCTGAGTTACAGTCACAGCAAAATTATTGAACACATCTGCTCTCCTGCAGCATCTCAGCATGGCACTCTCTGGTGGTCCTTCCAAGGGACCAGAAGGTCCAGCAGTGAATTCTGTTTTCCTCATACTGGTAAGCAGAGTTGAACCTGGCAATACAAGAYAGCCTCCAAAGAGTGACCAAGCTCATCTTACAGGCAAAATCTTTAGAGACCTTCACCTTTCCATCATCAAGAGCAGAATGGACAGAATGTCACATGAACGGGTAGGGAAACACAGCAGAATGGTTTTCTGGCTGCATTGGACTCACAGTCCCTCCCTCCTGGCTCACTGCACCCTCCCACTCATCTCCCCTTSTCAGGACACGGTCCCTTGCTAAGCCTGTCACTCGCTGCTGGCACAGTGGCAGGGCTGGTGACAGCCGTAACAGCAGGAGAGCGAGAAAGCTGTTGWGTGCAACAGGAAATGTTTCAGAGACTGAATGGTATAGGCAGAAAGTACAGAGCATCCCAGCAAAACAGGACATGAATTTTAATGTGGAAGACGAATGAGTTGGTTAGTTGGTCTGAAAGAAATAAAGAAACAAACAAAAACTGCTGCTTAGCAGCTTTCTTTAATTCTTACAAAAGGAGACAGAGAAAAAAAAGTAATGTTCTTTTGCTGTTGGTTTGGCTTATGTTGCTGGACATCTTTAAAAAGATTTGGTACCCCAAATATCCTTTTCKTCTAAATAGAAGCCCAAAATAATTTGACACTTTTTCCCACTTCCTCCACAGAACTGAGGCCAGCAGACCCTTCTCCAGCCAGTGTGAGGGTTTTAAAAAGGCCTAGCATGCAGCAGCAGAGACCTTTGGGTGACCTCTGGCTACCTCAATATGCAGGCACAATTTTAGTGAGCATTTTGTAGCCAGGCTGAATGCAGCCTGAAACAACACAGGTATTACTTGCCATTAGTACTGATGTTCATGCTGTGAAAGCATTTTTACAAGTTTTTAAGACAGAGATTAAAAAAAAAAAAAAGCCATTTAATAAATTCCCTGTTGCAACTGAATTCAGACTGATATCATAATGTCAATGGTTGAAAAAACTAAGGTCAGATTATGCCATCATACAAAAAAAAAAAAAAAATTAAATCTAACTCCAAATGCATATAGGGTGCAAAAACTTTGTTTCTGGTAGGAATAACCATTCTGCAATGCTGACATCTTGTGGTGGTATGCTCAGTGATTTCTTATCTTCATTGACATGCCTGAGGAATTTCATAGAGCCATACTCAAAAACCGATTTTGCTGGGGTCTTTTTTTCCCTTTCAGATTACTATCTTTTGTGTTATTACTCACTTATTATGTGCATTACTGATTTTTTAAGCTGTGGCTGTGAAGCCACATGTCTCACTTCACTTATTTAAGAGGTAGCCAGAACTTCTCCCACACCAAGAGCAGTTTGTCATAGAGGGAAAAGTTCCTGGCTTTCTCCCTCTGCTCCTTCTGCAAGAGGATCTTCTCATGAAGGAGCAATGCAGAAGGATCTTGTAACGCAGCAGTGACGCACTTTATGCTTCAGCTCAGGAGATGGAGTGTGAGACTGACAGACCACGCTGAGATTGTGTGTTTCTCTGACACAATGCTCTCCCTGTTGGCATCCCAGATGGTCATGGAATAACCATGGGCTGTGAATTTTGACTGTGCAGTGCACCTGCAGAGCATTTCCACGAAGACTGAAGGGTGGGTGCTCAAGGTGGGTGCTCAGTCTTACATGTCTCGTATTTGCAGCCAGTTTCTGACARACTTTGAAGCCTCAAAGTGAATTCCAGCACAGCCTTAAAACTGATTGCTAAAAACCTATGTTTCTGTCTCTTCTAGTTAATGAAAAGCATCTGAAAATTATCCTGTGTTAGCTGGTGCCATTCAGATGGATAGAAGATTGCTGTTGAAAACTATTCCTTGAAAACACGGAAATATTCCTGGTTTAGGTACCCTCTGTTTGGTGTGCGTGCAACTGCTGGTATTGTCCTTAAAACTACCAGCAAGTTTCACTAGTTTTATTTAAGTCCTTCCTCCACAGTGAATATTTCCATGGCAATATGGTTCGGTGCAACTTCCTGCCTTGATTTCTCAAAATATGCTTTAGCAGACTCTTGCATTTGAAATGGATCACACATTGCCACACCCTGGAAAAAYACATGATAGCTTATGAAACGTGTGCTATTACTGGCCAGATTATTACTGGAGCTAGCAATTCTGRAGTTCGGTGCTGATCCTAAAAAGAGATCTCCTGAGGATGTGTGGGCACTTTTTCTCAGGCAGAGTCTCTAAGAATAGAGCTTCATAATTTTTATTAGTTCATAAAAATTAAATCATCACATATATAGGTACTTAGTTCCATTCTGGCTATTTGTTCAAATTTCTGTAAGCAGGTGCAGCCCCAGAAGAGAAATCTGTTTTATCATTGAATCTATAAGGATGTCACCTGGGGAAATCAAAAAGGGGCAATGGATTTCAGCTGAAATTCTTTGGAAGGTTTGAATATTGTACCTAGCTGAACGGAAGAAATTGATCTACTTTAGCGATGTTCATTTACTGATGCCTTTCATCCAGGACTGTTCATTTAAGGACATTAACTTCCCTTTGTTCCAAAGTCTGGGTSTTAGTCCATTAATGGCTAGTGATGTAACAGTAGTGATTTTATCCCCAGCCTCAAATGCTCTCTGTTCAAACCACAAGGGAAGTACCCAGCCTGTGGCACTGTTCATTATTCATAAAAAATATTTATTTGCTACTTATGATTGTGAAAAAACTACTCTGGGTTTCTGCAGACTCATCTGTTTCTCAGTGGATCTTCCTCCGGCATCATAAACAACCAAGTTGYTTTATTGTGGTGTTTTTAGAGGGCTGAGATACTGTGACAGGGATTGGTATTTCACTTTGCAGGTCACGAACCTGTCCCCAGGCTCCATGACCACACTTCTCGTTTTCCAGTGTTGCTGTTCAAGGTCCGTGGGCTGGGGACCTTGGCTTGGGAGCTCCCGTTTGGACCACAGTGGCTTCGCAAGGCCAGCAATGCCAACCCGCAGCCAAAATCGTGACAGGGCTGTTGTTTCCAGCAGACTTTGCACTGGCGGGGCTTGGGAGGTGTCATAAAGATGTCCTTATCAATCGTGTCATAGAACATCGCCGTCGGGCAACCACCTGGAGGGAAAGACAGCTGCCAGTGTTATCTGCCAGGGCGTCGCCATCCACCAGCAGCTGTCCCATCCCAATGGGAATCCTCCAGGGCCCCACAGACAGCGCTGCCCCACACCGACACCTGTGTGCCGGGCCGCCGCCCCACACACAGGGCCAGCAGCCCTTAGTTCCAAGCCCTTAGCTCTTCACGGCAGGTCGGTCAGCCCCCGAGGGAGCTCGGGCAGGTGGGAGGGATGGCGAAGGAATTAGAAGCGCTCCGGGATTTCGCCGGGAGGCGGCAGCGCCCCGGTCCCCGCCCGCTGCCSTGTGCTGGGCGGCTCCGCGCCTCAACATGGCGGAGGCGCCCCGGGTGACGCTCCCGCACGGCCCGGGCACCCGGGCGGGGCCTGCGCTCCCCCCGCCGCTCCGCTCCGGCACGGAGCCCCCGCTGCTCCGGGAGCTGCTCGCAGAGCTTCCCCCGCGGCCTCCCGCTTCGGGGCACGGCGCAGTTCGTCACGCCCCGCGGGCGGAGCGCGCCGCATCCCCGGTGGCGGCGGCGGGGAGCGCYGGGAATGCCGTGAGTACGGGAGGGGGCCGGGGCGGCCCAGCCGTGCCCGCCTCCCTCGGCCGCCGCCACTTGGCCCTTCGCAGGGGCTCGAGGAACCGCTGCGGCCTCCGGGCCGTGCTCCGCTGTCCTTCCCGCCTCGGGAGGAGCGGGATGGCCGCAGTGCCCGTGCGGGGCTGCGAGCGGTGGCACGGCGGGGCGATGCTCCCGGCGAGGCGGGCGGGACTGCGCACCCAGCGCCGGGGCCTGCCCGCAGCCCTCACACACGGCCGGGGASAGGCACCGCATCCCTCCGGGGTGCCCGAGCCCGCGGCACCGCTCTGTGGAGCCRCGTGCTGCACAGTCCGCGAAGAGGGCTTTGCCCAGGGCTAACACCTTGTGGATTTGTATTTGGGGACCACATTCTTTCAAGGGCTGTAATGCATTGTGTGGACAGCCCTGCTAGGCTTTGTGTATTAGCTCTTCAAAAGTGCTTTTTCTGTTGGTTTTTAAATTATCTATAAAGGTGGGGAAAATAATTTTAATGTTCTTTAATAAAACAAGTAACATGCATGTCGTCACTTCCATGCTCCATTTCCCTTCAGATAGAGACTCACACTGCTTTAAGATTCCAAGGCCATTACGTCTCCTACGCAGTGGTTAATGCCTAACAGCTCTTCCAGCCCTGAGGCTCCTGCCTGGTCCTCTTTGGCCTTCAGGAATTGTGTTTCTTTACAGCTTGGATGGTAGGCAGGGGTATGCTGGCATTTGGCCATGCAGTTGTCACCCTGCTACCAGATTCRCTGGGTAGCATGTCTGGTGTGCTGTGCAGTCTTACATTAAAGGGAAAAAAAAACCTACCCCACACATTTTTATATTTTATGTGAAAGATGCAGAATGTAAGAAATACCAGGCAACTGTATTTTTCTTTTGTACACAGCTTTTGTACTGATAGAGGCAAATGCTGATTACTCGTATTGCTTCAGATTTAATGTCCTACTATATTGAGTTACGGAGCTACAAATCAAAGAAGCAGGGTGAGATTTGTTTGTTTAAGTAATCAGTGAAATCGGTGTGATTATCTTCGTTTGATCTCATCCTTGCCATTAAATAATTCTCCTGTAGCCCAAGTTCAGTCTAATTTTAGATTTTTCGGTAGGCAGGGAAGGTACTCCTCCTTCCTTTTCTGCTTTYATGCCTGGCTATCAATCTGCAAGAGTGAATTCACTCTGACAGGCGTTTCCTACCAGCTTGATACCYTCCCTTTTATTTCTGTCAAGCCAAGCACAGCTCTATTAAAATTTCCAGAGGAAGAAGCTCCCAAGGCAGAGTTTTCTTAATGCTGGGTCTGTAACCACTCTGTGTCCATTCAGGCAGGGTGGCATCAATCCTTGTGCTGTATTAACTTCTAAATGTTGGCTAGGGGCATAATCAATTTCTTTCTGCCTTTATTCTGGGAAGTAGTGAAGCAAGGTATTTGGGTGCATTGTCAAATTTGTTAAAGGTGCTAGAGTATCTAAAGATACTAGATTGTATCTAAAGAGACATGAGCAGGAATTTGGATAAAATATTCTTGCTTTGCAGGTACACCTACACCAGCAAAAGATGCTCCCGGCGAAGATATTACCAACACATCAAAGTGTGGGAGCCGTTGACATAATTTTGAGGCTGCAAACTGCCCCATCTCTCTTGCCTGGTGAGTCTTGTTAGTTCTCACAAGTGCTCTGTCTTCTTCCCTGGATGTGCCTTTTGCTAACAAGAGCATGATGATGGGGAGTGAAAGCAAAACACTGTCAATTAATTGGAAGTTCTACAGAGTGGTGCAGTGGTTCCGCTCATGAGGTTTAATGAGTTCGTAAGAATGCCAAATATTAGAACCTGGTTTTGCAATTTGTTTTATAATAAACTCAGAAATTGGTGGCCTTTTTTTTTCCTCACAGACTATGCCCATATGAGTTGGCTCTGCACCAAGGGAATCAGGATGAGTGAGCAGTCATGTAAAGTACAGAAATGTTTGAAGAAGGTTATGCTGGGCAAAGGCAGCTAATGCAGGCAATGAGAATTTTCTCAGTGGTCCCCTACATGACAAATCAGTTTTCTGGCTGTTTGTAAAATGTAGACTCCTGCAAAAGAAGTCCTATGGATAAAGGAAACTAGTTTTTGTTTGGTTTGGTTTTTGTTTTTTTTTTTCTTTTCTGCTGCAGTGGGTCTGCATTGCTTTATTCTGTTAAAAATGTTCCCATTGATATTAAAACCGGGGAAGTTAAGGAGGAGAAATACAAGAATACAAAAAATCAGTCTCAGTTCAGTTTAGGAAAAGATCAGGGAACAAGAAAGACAGTGAAGATATTGCCAGTGCCTACAGCTGAGGCAGTGCTGCAGGGTTTGTTGCAGCTGCAGTGACAATTAAAGCCCAGAAGACTCTTCAGTAAAATGTTATGCAGCTTTGACATTGCTTAAATCCAATGCAGGTGTTGTTGGAAAACACTCTTTATTTGTTACACAGACTAGGCCATAGAGGATTCACGAAGAGGTAGATACCTCAGCATGAATTGGTAAATACTGTGTGGAATATCTGAAATGGGATTTGGGGAAAAAACTAATGAAAAAGTATTTTTTCATCTGCAAAAAGATGCTTTTTCTCCTAGTACTAAAATACAGAACCTGTGATCCAGGCACTAATATCTGTATTCAGGTTTCCATTTTCTGTCAGTAATCCTGACACTCACTGCAATATCAGGTTTTGTTTGAAGTCTGTTCTATCTTACTCTGGCCTGTGTTTGTCAGTGACAAATCTGAGATCTCTCTGGAGCAAGACAGGTAATTAATCATGAAAGTGGGGATACCCAGCTGACACATCTTACAATCTTAGTTGAACTTTCCAGTCAGCATCAGCTGGGGATGTTAAAGGAATGCTGCTGGATTTAAAACAAAAAAATCCCCTGTTTTAATTTTGAAGATATCATTAGCTCAGATAACACAGAGTTGAAAACCCAGAAAAAATAGATTATTTAAAAAGATCAAATATTGATTTATTAGAATTGTGTGTTTAGCACCTGTGAGTGGTCATTTTTACCATTTTTTCAGTGAGTTTATCCAGTTTCCTTGATTGGAAAATGTTCCTTGTAAATACAGCAAAACACATTAGTGGGAATAAAGCAAATCTCACATGATAAGAGATGCTGATAATTTTTAATTAMAATCATTGCAAAGCAACAGTAAGATAATATATGTAGCTATGTAGGGGATATGAGTAACAGTTGCAAATAGCAGTTGCAAATAATGTATGGTCATTTTAGCTGTAGTTATGGAAATGAAAAATTGAAAATTGGAAAACATTAAGGTAAAAAAGAGTTCATAAATAAAAAAATTAATTGGACCTTTCCAGGGGTGTAGTTCAGAAACAAAACTTRGTAACAGAGATGCCAGCTCATGTATTTGGTGCTTTTTATGGAGTTGTTGTTATTATCCCTCCATGTGTTTACTCCCTATTAAAAAGATCAAGATAATTGGTRTGAGTAATACCTAATTGCCTTATATGGAGTAAGTTTTATGTTAGGTAATAAAAGAAGGATCCTGTGGGGAGACAGGAATCCTCTGCCATTGCCCCAGTGATCTCCTCATCCCAGCCAGTCTCTACGRGGTGCTCATTAGTAGATGCTTTTTCATAGAATTTCAGGTAAGCTGTGGAAGTTTTTCCTCCCTAACAGATTAATGACCTGTGAATGTTACTCTTAACTAAAATTATTTTGTTAGTTACTGAGAAAACTTACAYTGGGACAAGTGATTTGAACTCCTTCCCCATCTCAGAGTGGAGGAGAGACGGTAAAAACACTACATGTTCCTGCATTAATGACCATTCTGTGAAGAGCTTCTTAAAATGACAATGTAAATATTTATAGTTTACAACTGTAGTTATTTGAAAACAGGGGTGTTCTTTCAGGCTTTAATTGATTCCCCACGATGTTTGCAAAAGCAACAAAGAATTTCGTGAGAGAAACTGACACTGGAGGTGACTTGATCCCTGTCTSCAACTTGAACGCCTCAGACAAGCTGCAACTTTTGAGCTTAGTTACSAAGAGGAGGAAATTCTGGTGCTGGCAGAAGCCCAAGTATCATTTCTTGACGGTCACCCTGAGTGATGTGCTTACTGAAGACAAACCGATTAAACCAGGTAAAGCCATACTTGGGCAGCACTATTAGTGCAGATAAAAACAATACAAACCCTAATCTGTTTTGTTAATTATTCTCAATCGTGTTACTAGAGGGCTTCTTTCAGAGGAGTGCTCTGAAGGAATCCTTTATCCATGGAAATTAGATTAATGGATCTTTTCTCACTTAACCATTTATGTAACTAAAACTGGTAATAATAAATGTTGGTTAAAAAAAAAAAGGACTAAGTTTTGCCTGGATAGAGTATTGAATGGACTGTTGAAGGTTGTCAGGCTGTACAGTCCTACTGTTTAATAACAGTGCTGACTGCAGCCACAGGAATATCCCTAGAATAGTTTGGGGGGTTGTATGTGATAGCAGTGTGAAACTACTGTGCTCCAGGTTCAAAAGCAGTGAATAGACAGCATATCCTTGGTGTCAGTAGCCTGGGGAATGCTTGGCCRGGCCAGGCCAAGCAAGTTTTACCACTGATTCTGTTTGTCTTGCACAGACTGTTAAAAAAGGTTGACCCTTGTACTTTTTTCCTTGTCCAACTATAGCAGTCCTACTCAGGTTTTAAGATTCATGAGATGGAATCCCGTATTTCTGGCCATGTCACAATTCCTTACAGGAAAATAGCTATGAAATGTAAGATGTTAATTGTAGCTGGCTTTGATTCTGAATCAGTTCTTTGGTTTTTAGTTRTGTAAAATTCAGAGTTGTTTTAAACTATGTAGATGCTTCTATTGGTTTTCAGTGAGCTTTGGGACAGCCCYGTGATGTGCCAAAATAATGTCAAAATACTAGCACTGTTGTAAAAGCAGGTCTGCTTTGGAGTTTTCTTTGTAGCTGAAATAACTTTCAGTCATTCTTAATAAATATTTCATAGCATCTGAGTTCAGTGCTTCAGTCACCTTATGGTTTCCTAAAATAGCAAAATGCAAAAGATAGGAGAGCAAAGATGAAGAGAGCAGAAGCAAGAGTTGTAGAGCTGTAAATTTCATTATTTACTTCTTCATACCGTTCCTTGCTTTCACTAACTTGTCATATTTTCTGTAAGTGTCTGTTCGTCCAATCACTTAAGGACCATTTCAGCATTTCTGTTCACAGATAGAAATTACTTTTATTGCTTTTCTAGTGATTGTGGAGTCTGACTTTGCAAAATATATGGGGAAGTTTGAAGATTGTGTGCAAGGAAGTATTGAAGCATCGTTTGCGAAGTTCAGCCTGGGAGCCGGAGGGAAGGGCTATGTGGAAAATGAGTCTTCATTTGGGAACCTGAGGAAGCAGGAGATTGACTTGCAGCAGCTTATGAAAGATGTCAAGGACAGGTATGTTTCTAATGTGGATGTTGTACTGGCCAGRAAAGATTACTGAGCTGGAAAGACTTGGAGCAGCTGCAATCASTGACCAATTGATTTTGTAGTAGTGTCACAGTTTGAAAATTATTTTTACTGTAAGCTTTCATATTCTTGGTAAGTCATATATACAAAAATTAATTTTTCCATATTTTTAAATCTTGGTAGCCAGACTTCCCCCATTTCATGTTTTAAAAACATCTCTCTGTAATTTCATCTTACATTTTTTGCATTAACTATCACCTGGGACAAGAGCCAAATCCTCCTTTCTTTTGGGTACTGTACTGAGGTAACACTCTGGAAAAAAATGAATTAGTTCTCTGTGTTACTGGGGCATTGAATGTGGAAATTGAATTCAGATCTGCTAATGTTCTTGTAAGCTGGCTTTGTAATTTCACGTTTGTGAATGACCACGCTAGAAAATTGGATTATTTGAAGTTGAAGGAATAGCAAAGGTGAGCAGGCATGGTCAAAGCATGTTCTACTAGCTAAACAAAATAAGAGATCTGTTGCTTTCTGTTATACACTGTATTGACTGAGGGGAACCATATTCTTTAATTTTACCAAATATGTAACACTTCCTCACTTCCTGTCCTATTCTGAAATCAAATCTATTTAATGTTGCACCAAGGGAATCATTCACCAAAGCCTGTGTGGCAACCAGCTAACGAGTCAGGGGTCTACTCTCTGTTGCTGATCCTGACTCATGGGAGGTGAGGGTGGTTCCTTTGTTGACAGCATTGTACTCTAGATCTGTAGCAGGGGATGTAATGAATTTTAATAGCCTTTGCTGATGCTCTGAAGATAAAGATGATAGGTTTTTGCTATCAGTGCAGAAGTTGTCAGAAGCAATGTAAATTTGCTTTAGATACACTCGATGTTCTAGAAATAATCAATTCTCCATTTTCATGGGAACAAATGGCTGGTGTTCTTTTTATTGTGAGTGTTCACAAGTCAACAAATTTATTCTAATAAGGCACCTTGCTCTCTTTGTACTAAATGCCTTATTAAAAGCAGAAAATACTGGGCTAAATGTGTGTAGCAAGCCTGTAAAATTAATGTGCACCTAGTATCAGGAAATTTTTGTCAGTCAAGATTTAGAATCTTATTTATAGCACTAGATAGAGTCCTATGGAGATACAAAGTAGAATAACTTTGATTTAGATCAGAAAGCTTTTACTTGAAGTTACCTACTCTGTTCACAAAGAGAATCCTCCCATAGCAAATCTGCACATCGTGAAGTTATAATCCTCTATGTAACTAAATATTTAGAAATCTCTTGYCTTCTTTTGAGTGCTGAAAATCAGTAGCTCTACACCAATCCATGTGTAGCTGTAACTGAAGTTGATGCGTGTGCTAGTTTATGCAAAGAAAYTAGTTCTTAGTTAATAAAAAAGGTGCTCATAGCTTATTAAAGCTTATGATGCACAGTATAGAGTTGATACTGAGTCAGTCTGTCTTCTGCCAGGTCACTGAAAATGATGAGGATAGCAGATTTTTTTTTTGTTCAGCATAATGCAGAGGCTCACTGGAAATTGTTGGCCATTCCTTATAGATGAAATTCTACTYACTTGTTCATAAATATTCTATGATGTATGATTGATTGTGTCCAAGCTTCAAGCTTTCACCTCATTCATGAGTGTTGTGTGGAATTCAGGAGTGCTGATGCCTACAAGTTAGTGATTTTTGAATGCGAAGAGTTATGATACTTAAGAGGATGTTTTACCTGTCAGTCCTTGTGGAATGAGAGACAGCAAAGTGTTCTTGATATTATTAAATGACATGTGGTGCTTGTACTTGTTTGATCAAACATTGCTTCATTTATTATTTCTATGAATATAGCCTAATTAAACTGCATTTAAAAATGTTCTTGTATTAGACTGGTTAGGTCAAAGTTGTAGATTAGTAGCAGAAAACTTTAAAAAGTCAAAGCTGATATGCCTTTTAAACTAAGTCATRTGAGTCTTCAGAGTTCAGCAAGCTGAAAGTGCTCAGTGGCAGCAAATCGGTTTCCTGTCACTTTTTAGGCAAACCTTCTGAAGGAGAATCCTACTGATCTTTTAATTAGATTCCAGGTGCTGCATTGGCTCCTTTTTCTGAAAAAGGATGACAGCTGAAGGATGTGGAATGAAATCCTTCCTGGTTTGCAGAAGCAATGATGTTGTAAATGCAGAACACACTTACTAGCATAATGTGCAATACTAAAATAAAGTTAAATGATAGGTTAGGTGCACTTGGCATATTTCACTTTACATTCATTTTTGATTTTGTATTACGTAGTGATTGCTAGTTCACAGAGTACTGTAACATACCRATTTGGGGCAGAGTCCCGTGCCTTTAGCTCACTTGGATTGCTATGGATTTGATAGTATATTCAATTTTCTATTTTAAGGCTTTCAGTAGGAAAGTAGGTAGTCTGCCAGGAGATCCTCACAGAGAAGCTGTTGAAGTATGGGCTGGATGAGCTACTTTTCAGTGGTGCCCAGAGACAGCAGGAAGCAATAGGCACAATCTGAGACATCGTAGGCTCTGTCTGAACATCAAGATACTCTTTTTCACTGTAAGAGTGACTGAGCACTCACACAGGTTGCCTGGGGAAGGCTGTGGATTTTCCCTCCTTGGAGACATGGTCCTAGGCAGAGTGCTCTAGGTGGCCCTGCTTAAGCAGGGAGGTTACACTGTCCAACCATTCTGTCTTCTCTCCAGTAAAAAAGATTATGAGTAGGTTATAATCTCTATACTTCTGACAGATTAACAAATTTGCTTGATTGYTTTTACCATTTCACTAAAAGTCATTGAAGGTGATTGAAAAAGAAATTCTGAGAGGACAGTGATAGCAGTCAGTCAGTTCACATCAGCTGCAGAAAAAATTGCCTGTCATGCTTCCATCATTTCATGTGAATGATTCCTAGCTCTRTGATTAGCATATTAGGAAAAGAGTTGTAATTGTTTTTAGCAGCATACTGTGTCTTGGTTGAAAGATAATTTTTTATTGTGTTTTTTTGTACTTTTTACTTATGTAGTATTGCATTTTGCACTTTAGATGAACTAATGAAAGTGCATATTATTGTCCACACTGAGACAGAAATACCTATTCTTAATCTGAGTTCAGTGGAAATTGAGACTGTTTTGTAATTTATTGTTTAAAACTCCTTGAGCATTTATGAGTATGGTGAGAAAACCATTCTGTTTTCTATGTAAGTTGCTGCATGAGGTAATACGAAGTCACAAAGTGTTGTGAGACAGGAYTGAATAAAAGCAATTGTGTCTGCCTGTGATTTAAAAAATAAGGAACATGTCAAATAGAAAATAGAGAAACTACCTGCCACTTGTAGTTTGAGAAGTCTCTAGTATTCTTTGGGAAGATGTTCTGTAAAGTACCTGTCAGGTTATTCTGTAGGGAAGGTAGTGAAATGCTGTCAATAAACTGACTATTRCAGATGCTGTGTTCTGTAAGAAGTAGGTCAGAGAGGTTATATTTGAAATGGATTAACAAAAGAAATATGCATCTGTGCTTTGTGGAAAATGGCAGAGTGAGGCATACTCCCTGGCACTCATCTAGAGGTCTCTGTTAGAGCAGGAGCAGAGCTCAGTGGAGGGTTTCACTGTGCAACGAGCTGTATTCGTGTGGAACGCATCAGACTGTGCACATGATAAATGAAGTGGAGAAGAGACTGTGAGCGTGGGATACCCGTGTCTCTACAGCTGGGAGAGGACGTGTATTGAGGTGACAATGCCCAGTGCAGGACTGAAAAGGTTTTTCACTTGAGGGTAGTTTGGACCASTGAAAATTTGTGCAGACAGGCAGCAGTGCTGRTTTCAATGTGAGAATGCAGAGAGTACTCAGTGGTAACCATTGTTCTTGGTCCTTGTAGGAAATTGATAAGCATMTTGCATTGAGGATTTGTGGGGTGGGGTTACTACCGAGAAGGTTAGACAGGATTTGATTGAAAAATGGTCCTAAGGCCTCTCCTTTGTGGGCAATTAGGTCAAATTCTGTGCCTAAAGGAAAGCCTCTCAGTCTCAGCAGTGGGGTTTAGAGCGGGCTCCTGCTCTCTGCTTCAACTGCGAGAGCTTGCTATGTTGCTAGATGTCTGTTTTTTCTTGTCTTTATTTGGTTTGTGCCTTTCTCTCTTCTTTTCTGACTCCAGTCTGCAGCAAATTGCCTTTGTGCCTCTGTTGTCTACTGCTTCCCTAAAGTGAAAAGAAACATACTTAGTGAAGGTGAAAGAAGAGGAGAGTACAAGTGTTTAGTCTAGTTAAATGTGGAGTGAGATGAAAACTCAAATATATTATTATATGTACATGTTTGACCTGTAAAGCTTCCAGCATAATAAATAGTTGACCTCAGAAAGGTTGTTTAAGCAGAAAAAGCAATCAAGCTTTTATCAACCCCATAATTTGTATTTTTAAAATAATTTTTATTTATACTCTGCATGTTGATAATGAGACTTGGCAAACCARCATCTCATATAATGTTACTTTTGAGTGCTTCAGCTCAGCTCCTTGGGGTGGGATGGTTAATGGTGATATAGGACAAGTGGCACAAGTTTGGAGGGGGCTCTTGTACAGTACTGAAAGAGATAGTAAGAGCCATGGTTGTAAAACAGAAGTAAAAGCTCTGAAACATGACTTGTAAAATAAGAAATGCAATACAATATATGTGCCCGCATGCGTGTATTCTCAGGGATTCAACTTATGTATATAATATTGTATAATATGTATATAATCTTGTGTTATTCAGGTATTTTCTTGTATTCAGAGTTTTATGGTGGCAAGTTAAGTTCAGCTCTAGCAAAAATACAGTCCCAGATTTGGTGGCCATTGCCCTGCAATACTTGAAGCCCTGTCTGGTTGTCAAACTTTAACCTGTTGTGTGTTGCTCTTGATGAGTGTTTTCAATGRTAGTTTAGATAAGCTGGGCACTTGCTTACCTCATGTCATCTCCTGTYTGAGTTGCTGAGGAGAGCAGAATGTTTTGCCTACAGCAAAACATGTGCCTTGGTAATAACTCATGATGTGCCCACATGCAACCAYAGAGTTCTGTTTTATGATAGAAAGTTTAGTGCCACAAGTCAAGAGGACAGCACTTTACTGTCCTGGAAGGAAAGGTTTTTGTAGCTGTGGGTAAGGGTATGTGTTGGAAAGCTCTGAATTCACTGCTCACTAAACTTACTGGGCAGAGGAGAACATTTCTGCCGGCTGTATGACTGCACACATCCTACCAAAGTCATTTGAACCTTGGGGYGGTGGCAGTGGCTGTCTCTGGCACACAGGCAGATCTGTGCAGRGGATCCCAGGTCACCTCTGGGCCCTGCCTGGGGAGTGCTGCTGAAGCAGGTAGCTCTGTGTCCCTGTCTGTCATTGTCACTCCATAGCCCCCAGTGTGCAGCAGCTCCTCCAGTGCTGCTTCCAGGATTTGTTCACTGCTCCCCTTTGCAAGCTAACTGTGTCTCCTGACTCTGCATCTGGACCGCAAAGCCAGGAGCATGACAGGGTCTGAGCCAGTCCTGCCTCGGGCAGAATACTGTAGAAGCAGATGGAAGAAAAAATCTCTGGAATTATTTTGGTAATTCATTTGCATAGGGTTAGGTCATATTGTGTATGCTTCTTTAATTAACATTCATTCAGAAATAGCAGAATATATCTTTATTTAATATGTATTTTTCTACCTTTTGTTGTTTGAGGGATTTTTTTCCTCTAAATTTTGGGGGTATTTATGACAAATGCTTTGTGCTTCTTCAATRTATTTTTCCCCTGTGGCTCCCTAGGTCAAATGTTAAAACTGCAAGTTCTCAGTGCATTAATTTGCATTTTCAAGACGCTTAGCGCACYATTTTAGAAACGTAAATAATTATTGTGAAGTATATGATAGGCTTGATAGACTGTAACTAATGGCTCTGGTTTGGCAGACGCTTCTGAGAGCAGTGATGTTTGTGGTTGTTTGAAATTTCTTCAGTTTTTCCTTAATCCAAAGKTTCATTGCATTCCAAGCATAAAGCATGGCTTTGCACCAAAGGAAAAAAGATTTGTATTAATAATCTCAGGAATGTTTGGGGGTGCTTTTCTAGTGTCTGCTGCATTGCTTCAGAGGTATTTTCTTTCCCTTGTCTGAACAATCARCTTTAAGGTTTTCAGACAGTTCATTCCAACTGATTGAACTTTCATATAAGCATGTAACTCTCCAAAGATCAAAAATTGCCTGAAGATATTTTTAATTCAATAAAAACCCCAGCTGACTTCAGACTTATACAGACTGCATAAATTCAAAACTCCAGAATCTAATAAATCTAAAACTTTTTAATTAAAAAGTGGAGATATCTTCATTTAAATGAACTGGAGTCAGACATGTCTTTCTGTCACATTTTTGGGAAATTGCCATTTAGCTCCATGAATAGCCACTTACAGTAAAAGGGAGGAGAAAAGACTGAATAATTTGAAGCAGAGATAGCAATCCTTTAATCTTCCAAAAGTTTTGCTAGATTACCTGTTCATAAAAATATAACATCTCCTCTGAGGACCTCCAGTGAATGTTTCGTAAAAGTATAATATAATTGATGCATTTTAATCAATGAAATACAGAAATAATTAAATAACATCAGTTAAATAAAGAAGTTGCTTTAACTGTTACCAGAAAGTCTGTTAGCACCCYAAAAGACAAGGTAGTGGATTTTGTAGTATTTTCATAAAAAATAAGCCTCCTATGTTGTTTCTGGGAGTTCACTTTTAGTCTTCTGCTCACTTGAAGAAGAACCTAATGTTAGAATTATTTCCAGCAGCATTTAAACAGATGCTGAATTATGTTGTGGAGTAGGGATGGTTTATTAGGTTGATGCTTGGGCTAAAGTATTGGATTCCATCCACAGTTAGTTCTTCTTTTGTCTGTGACAGTCCTGGTCACCAATTTTAAATTTTGAGTCTACACCAGTGAATAACACAGGACTTTGAAGGAGGTGGGTTTTTTCAGTAATTTCCTGTCTTAAAATCAGTGAAATCTTCTGGKTTTTTTTCTGATTCAGCCCTTTGAAATACTTGATCAGTGCTGATCCCTCTCAGCATGTTCAGGATTTAAGTGAACACTGAAACAGATCCATAACAAACATTGAGGGTTGGCACTGAGGCATTGCTGTCTTTGTGTCCCCCTGCCRTGGCAATGTCAGTGTGAGCTCCCAGTAGGAGAGGATTCAGTCCAGTGTCCAAGAGCCTGGCTGGTTGGTTTTGTATTACCCTGGAAAGCTAAAGCTGCCATTAGTTCTCTCTTGTTTTTTTTGTTAGTTTTTTTTTTTTTGTTTTTTTGTTTTTTTTTTTTTTTTTTTTTTTTTTTTTTTTTTTTGCTTAGAACGTATCCAGGCAAATGCCATTTTTTGCTAGGTATTTACTGCTGCCGAAGAGCAGAAGAGATCATCATTTTGAGGAGACTGCTCATACAGAAACCATTGTCATTTTTACAATAAAAACTTCTTCAGGCAATTTGGAATATGTTTTTCTTTCACAATTCCAGTATTGTTAATGTTGTATTTTCTTTTTTAGAACAATAGATCTAAACAGTAGTTTACTGCAACAAGTAATAGAAAGAAAACGTGAAGTGCTGTGCATCCTGAGAGAAAAGATAATCACAACTCAGAAGTGTACGATATCTGAACATATCCAGACAGAAGAAAAGGTCAGCGGTGTGGTGGGATGCACTGCAAAAACAGTAAAGGTAGAAGTTATTAAAAATCTGCAAGGAATAGAACATTTGCACATTATCCAGGAAAAAAACTGCAATTTCTCCAGATGGACTTCAGAGTATTATTGGTTCTTTCTTAATGTGCTGAACAAACTGCACTGCTTTATTGAGAAAATTCAGTATGGTATAATGATTTTTTCCATTGCCTTTCTGGAAAAAGATGCAATGTTTTCCTGTGAGCCTGGAATGTAGTTTCCATCAATACTATCAAATTGTGATTCCATTTCTATGTAGACTCCTGACTACAGCAGAACATGAAGCAAACCTAAAACAATTCACTGAAAGTCAAATAGCAAAATGCTTTGCGGAATCAAATTTATTTGAAAAGCCAAATAAYCATTCATCTGTAATGTCTACTGAGTTTTCATATTTATTGGGAAGCTATTTGTTTTTGAACATGGGAGTAGAGATTAACTGCATTATGAGGCTATCTGAAAAATTGCCTACAAATTGGGAAGGAATTACCAAAGTCAAAATATGCTCATTCATTGCAAGATTTTTTTTAAAGCTGGAGATGAATCACTTCTGTGTACAGTGTGTCTCCAATTGCASAAATCCAGGAGTTGCAGTGTAAAAACCTGCATTGCAAGTGCCACCTTCCTGATACCAGCCCCCAGCTGGGCTAAAGAAATGGCACAGTAGAATTGGGCAAGGCAGGATATTGAAGTGGGTGCCCATTTCTTAGTGACAATGGTGCTTCATGTGTGGCAAAAGCTGTGCCTGGAGCTCGACTTTGTGTCTGTTTGGACAGGGTAGCTAAGAGTGTGAGAGCTGCTCTTAGCATTGTGTTTCTGCCTCACTGTTCATTTAGTTCCTTTTGTAGATGTCAGATGTAACATGTGCTTTGATGAGACATCATGGAGAACAAAGCAAATTCTCCCTCTGTATTTTTCACCTTAATTATGTGTTTAAGCTGTRCAGTGGCTGCATCAGATAAATGGTGAATCAATCTGTCTTGTAGGTGTCAGTAAATGAAAATGGAAGTCTGATGAAGGATTCTAGTGTGATCCTGGAAATTCCTCCTGCGACCACTATTGCCTATGGTGTAATTGAACTGTTTATAAAGCACAATGGCCAGTTTGGTAAGTGAAAAGCTCGCTTTCTGTGGCACAGAGTTGAACTGTGGACAAAGCTGTCAGACAATGACTTTCATGTTTCCCTGTGTGTGAAGGTGATTATGTTGTATGGTCACCTTTGCCTTGATAGTTATTTGTGCTAGAAATGGTGATTTGTAATTTTAAAACTCTGATTTAGTAATGCTTTTTCACTTGCATGAATACGCTGTAAACTCAGAACAATTTAGGTTTCAGGGAWCCACAGGAGATCATGCCATTTCTTTAGCTCAAGCCTCTGCTCAAGGCAGGGCCATCTTTTGAACTTTCATCTAATTTTGTAGTTAGATCTGATTGCTCATATCCTTGTCTATTCTAAAGTTTTGATTTATCTCCAGAGACAGAGGTTCTATCACTCTTCTGGGCAGTCTGTTACCATGTTTGACCACCGTGGTGGTGAACTTTTTTCTTTCCCTTCACATCTGCTGTTTGCTAGATTGCTCCAGTCTGTGAATGTGGGGCTTGTACTCAGGACGAAAACTGGATTCAGCACTCTGAATGCAGCTTCCCAAATTGAAAATTCAGTTCCATCAATCCACCAGCTACAGTATTGTCAGTACAGCCCAGTATGCAGCAAACTCAATAACTGCAAGGGCATGCTGCTGATCCTCTGGGATTTGTTGTCCWGGTCCTTTTCTGCAGTTTTGCTTCCAGCCAGCTGGCCCTTGGCCCAAGCTATTCTCTTCACCTGTTGCAGAGAGTGACCTGAATGCAAATCAAGTGTCAGCCAGGAATGTTTAGACAACAGTCACRTTAAGAAAAGAATCATTCATACAGGGCTGGAATTTAAACTTTCCTAGCTTACACTTTCATTTAAAGATTGCCCTCAGAATGGCTGCAGAAATGTCCTTGTCATGTTTTCTGGTCATGCTTTACTTATGTCAGGTTGAATATTTTTCAGGTAAAAAAAAAATGTTGGAGTTGGCTTTTGGGGGTAGTCGTATCTCTGCTCTGCACAATCACTTGGGTTTTTCTTTGTCTGTCCTCATTTAAACTCTCTGAGCTAAAGGAGGTTTCAGGGGACGTTATGCAAGAAGGAATAAAATCAGACAGTASAGCTGGAAGTTGGGAAGGACTGATGTAGAAAGAAACAGGAGAGATGTTGAAGAAATAATTGGAGTTTAGTTGAGATTTGAGTCCATGGTGCACTTTGCTTGGATGAGACATGCAGAAGATCCACACTCCTTCTGATACTAAAGAAGTCTGTAGGCTCAGGAATAGAAGTAAATATTATGTAACCTGTAAAAGTTTCTGAAAAGTTAAATTGCTCTGACGTAGACAGAACATGAAGATAATAGCAGAGGATATCGACGTCATGGTTATAATTGAACTGTAATTSAGAGTAATGAGGTGCAATTAAGGCTGTCTGACTACATAGGTATATAGCTGATAACCTATTTAAGTKATTTCTACATGAAATTATGATGTCCTGCAAGCTGACAATACATGGGTCTTGTTAATCATCTGTATTTCTCTGCTCTTTTTCCACTTCTGTTTCTTTTTCCGCTTTTTTTTATTTTATTCATAAAAATATTAATATCTTTCAAGCTTCAGAATCAGCACAGCTTGTTTCATGTTTCATCTTAAATAACCTATGCCTTGCCTCTTTTTTAATTTGTGCTATTTTTCCTTGCCTGAGTGTCTTTGAGAAGGTAAAGGGGAGGAACTAACAACAAAATTAGGGCTTTGCCGGCAAGTATGGTGGAGCCTAAACTTGAATTTGTTAATGAAGGGATCAGTGTCTGTTTATGGCAATAAATAGCCTTTGAAGTTAAATCCAGGGACTGATGTAGTCCTTTCTCATGAGACTGAATGTGACCAGTAGCAGGTGTAACCTAATGAGATTCTATTCACAGATAATTACGGAGTAAGATGCATGTTAGCTTTTTACTGTTTCTTTTTCTTCGCCACTGGCAGTACTTAAGTTATTGTGTTAGGAAGAATGATTTTTTTTAATGTTCTGGCTAATGTAACTGGACATATTTGGATATTTTTATAAATAAATAAAATAAATTTTTAAAAAGGAAAAGCATCTAATCTTTTTCTGATCCATTTACCATAGTGCTTTCCTGTAGTCATTCTGTTAGATTTCTACAGGCTAATTTTCCACTCCATGTAAAAGCTGTTTCTGCTAAAGGCGTTGCAATCTTGTGTCTGTAAAGTTGCGCTGRAATGCTTCTTGTTCTTGCTTTACAAAGTTCTGTGTGTAGGGYTTGCTTTTTCTTAAATGTCTGTAAATTAAACAGTCCCAGTGTTTCCACTTTTCTACACAATGGAGTTTTGTGGAGTCTCTTTGATTGTTTTCATTGATCATCTCTGGTTTTCTTGCATTTTTGTTAACATTTCTGAGTAACTAACTAGCTCTAACTGCACTCTTGGAGGTTTGTCATCAATKAATGTAATAGAATTCAATACAAAATTAATTAACAGTCCTGTTAATACAGAAYGTTGAGTCCTGTGTTTTCTTGTGAATGGAGTCCTATTACAAGATTTAACAACATCMTCTTAAAAGTTTTATTTCCCTTATTAGCACCATTTTGCCTCTGGAGGGGAGGCAATTTATTAGCAGTCTTCCTCCTCAGGGTTCCTGTGAAAGCCTTGTTATTTTCAATGATAGTAACATGAGTGAGTTGGCCTTGTAGTGCCTCAGCTGCTGTCCAGTTGCTTTGGGAAGTTCTTAGCTTGTGTTAATCGCTTTCTGCTCCCCTGTAGCTCATTCTTCTCGGTGAAGGGTTATGCAAGCATAGAGGTCTGTCTTTCTTTCTCTATGGCAGGGATTTCTTTGTCTGCTTTCCTTTTGAAAAAGCTTTTTTACTGATGGAATGCTCTCCATGCTTTCTCATTTGCTTTGAATGTCCTTAATTTAGTGAGACAGASTCTTACAACTGTAGAAAGGTTATATTTAGGTTTTGTGCCTGGTACATGTGAGCACTGTGCTTGATTAGTTACATTTTTTTTCCTTTGCTGTTGGGTATTACTTTAAAATTGAGTTTCTCTTTCTAGCCTGCCTGTGTTTCCCACAGACGAGCTGCATAGTGCCATGGGTACACATTCAGATCCTGCATTTGAGCCAATAAAAGTTGATTCGAATATGCATAGGGCTTTGATTGTATTCTGCATCTTYAGGGCACATGTTGGACACATGAGCACAGAACTTGATACTCCAGATTTCTCAGCATAACTCCTAAAAAGACTCCCTGTACCTTCCAGGAGGCCCTTAACTTCAGGCTGGTGGCACTGGGGTGGCAGGACAGGGACACTCCTGTTTGGGTCAGTGCTTGTCACAAAGATGAGGCAGAAAGGGTAATCCAGCCAGGGCATGTTAYTCSCTCCATGAAGTTACTGAAGAGAGAMAGTTACTGYAAAATGATTCKRTTAGGAAACATCCCTGGGTCATGTCCTTTAGGACTCTCAGAAGCCTCCTGTTTTCCACTTATCTGGAGAATTTGASGATGGACCTGTGGCTTGGCTGAGAAAGAGGAGTCTGTCAGTGCCATGTCCATCAGACTCTCTGTGAAGGACTCTCAAGAGTTCTTACAAACCTCTGAGTGTACTTTCATGTGTTCCCTTCATGAGTGGATCCTATCTCACCTGCATTACTGCACTTCTCTTAGCGGGTAGAAAATATACAGACTGGGGAATGAGAAGCTGRAGAGCAGCGCTGTGCAAAGGGACCTGCAGGTCCTGGTCAGTGACAGATTGGATCTGAGCCAGCAGTGTCCTGGCAGCCAGCAGGGACAGCCCTGTCCTGGGGACATCAGGCACAGCATCACCAGCCGGGCAAGGGAGGGGATTGTCCTGCTCTGCTCTGGGCTGGGGCAGCCTCACCTCGAGTGCTGGGGGCAGTTTGGGGTGTCACAATGTGAGAAAACTCCTGGAGAGAGCCCAAAGGAGGGCAACAAAGACAGAGAAGGGCCTTGAAGGGAATGAGGGGCAGCTGAGGTCACTTGGTCTGTTCAGCCTGGAGGAGACTGAGAGGAGACTTCACTGCAGTTACAACTCCCTTGTGAGGGGAAGAGCAGGGGCAGGCACTGAATCTCTTCTCTGTGGTGACCAGGGACAAGGAGTGGCCTGAAGTTGTGTCAGGGAAGGTTTAGTTTGCAGATAAGGAAAAGGTTCTTCATCCAGAGGGTGGYTGGGCACTGGAACAGCTCCCCAGGGAATGGTCACAGCACAGCCTGACAGAGTTCAAGTGTTTCAACAATGCTCTCAGGCACATGGTGTGACTCTTGGGGATRGTGCTGTGCAGGGACAGGAGTTGAACATGRTGATCCTTGAGGGCCCCTTCCAACTCAGCTTACTCTGGTTCTGTGAAACATCAAGAATTCTTACCTGCATCTCCTRTATGCAGCATTCTGGTTTACAGTGTCAGAGGGAAGTTTTTGTGTTATTTGCTKTCTATATTAATTTAGTTCACAGAAGCTGGTGTCACATTTTGTAGAAGGCAGCTGCACCACAGGTCTTCTGCCTGTASACATTGTACCAAACATCAGAGCTGCAGGAATGCTCAATAATTCACATGCACAGCAACTGCTGGCATTCTTTCCATCTGGAAGAGACGAGACGTGGATAAATCACTTGCGAGAACACTAGAAAATATAAGCCATCATCTCATTCAGTAATTGCTTGTGTGTTTTATTAATTATTGTTTTTGATTTAATTTCTAATTACAGAGTTCTGTCTGCTAGATGAACAGCAAGGAGGTTTTGAAAAAGAAAGCACAGAAGGCTCAACTTACCCCCATTCAGTTCAATTCAGCGATGCTTCACTCCTCTATCAGCCAGATGCTGTTGATAATGAGATGTACTCTGGGGCTAAAAACCTCGTTCCCAGTGATGCTTCTATAAGTATATTGAAACAAGGTATTACCAGAAATGCTTTACATGATTATATTACAGTGAATTAGGCAACCTGATAGCAGAAATAATCTGGTATAATAGTAAGTAAGAAATCTTGTTTGTTCGTTTTAATAGCTCTTATCAGGAACTCTTGGGAGAGCACACTGAAAGAATATAGAAAATCAGTTCTGCAGTARGTGTATGCAGTGGTTTCTTTCCTAGGAACATTCTGAATCCATCTGTCATAAATATAATCTCACAAAGTCAGGTGTTTATGACAGCTCTGTTGCATTCCAGATAACCTCTACAAGTTTAGTGATGATACATGCTTTCATTTAGAAAGGGTCRCTGAAAATGTGTTTTTTGTGATTTGAAAAATACTCTCACTAAAGCTTCTCAGTTACAGGTTAAGTCTCARAATCAGAAAGACATCTCCCTTGCCTTCACTTAGCCTCATTATTTTCTGAGATGCTTTATAACTGAGAAAATTAAAATGCAGTTTAAATGAAAGTTCGYAAATGGTATAATGGCCCAGGTACAAGTTGTTTATTGTAGGAATGTGGAAAGAAGAGGCAGGAATGTCACTGGAGGGATGAAAAAAGGGAAACCAGTCAAAGCCTCAGAACGCACTGTGTTTTTCATCAGTTCTTGGTAGAGTTCTTAGAGCTTCTTCTTAGGAAGGTTCACTTCCCTTGTCTCTAAGTTTCATCTTTGGTTAATGGTTGTTCAATAGAAAATATATGAAAAACACTCATGAAAGAATGGTATGCCACTGTTTTGTTTTTTGTTTTAGCTTGACATTCCTTTGTGCTTTTCTTGCTTAAAAGGCTCAGAGATTTCTTTAAATAATTAAATCTGCACTGTTTCTTGGGAAAAAACCCACCAAAACTGAAAAAATGGTTTCGACTAAAGAATTTAGAAGTAGATGTAATTTTTTTTTTATTTGTATAGACATTCATATGATTGCATCAGACAAGCAAAATAAATGCCTATGGCTGGGCTTTTTTTTTCCCCCAGTGAAGTAAATTTTAGTTACAAAGGACATGTATTAAGAGAGCATGTTTCTTAATTGGAGTGACATGAAGGAAAACTTCTTTTAAATAAATTTGAGAGCACTTGCATGCCCATATTTTTGGAATGTGGGAAAAAAAAGTTATCATTATTAATTTGAAAAGTTCATTTTTTTTTTTTTAGCTAAGGAGCAATTTAATATCACAAAAGACTTAGTTTCGGTATCATAGTTGAACTGTCAGATAACGAGTGCAGAGCACTCCCTTGTACTTAATGAGTACTCTTCATTCTGCCATATAAATGAACATTCTCTGGAGATAAACTTTGAAGTGAGAGACTTAAGATGTATTTAGTTGGTTAACATTGAAGTACTGACTTTTCAATTATTAAAATACTTTACACAAAAATGTTAATTCTTGGTAGCTGTTCTTCTTTCTAAATGTTTTCATTGAGKCTTCATTGGCTCCTTAGGAAATAAAATCAGATCTGTTCCAGCCTTGCATTTTAACTTTAACTGCTGCTGGAAATCAGGATGTCAAGGTGTGGTGGTAAATGAGCTTATGAAACCCATAGCAAAATGTTATCTGTTTTTACTGGCATTTATGTAGAAATACTTAGTTTTATTTTCTGCTGCTTTCTTGGGAAAGATCTGTCACGGTTGAAGACCCAGTTCCAGCCCTTTGTGAAGCTTCCGGAAGACAAGCAAAGAGCTTTATATAAAACCCTTTGTGAACTCCTGCTCCGTGAAGAAATGGTAACCGCCCTGGGGGACATGGTAAGATGCAGAACATTTGGCTGCTTCCTAAAATTAACTTCAGAATAGTGGTAGCATTCTCTCTTGCTTGAATTTTTCTCAAGAAGTTTTGCTTATTCTTTTGCTTTCAGATTGATGATATCTGCACAGGAGACAAGCCAGATCTCGAGGAGTTAAAACTTGAACAACAAAGAGACCTYCTTGACTTCTTGCAGCTCTTAGGGTGCAGCTTACAGAGTGAGCTGTTGCAGAAATATCAACCTCAGGATGAAGAACTCTTCTCAGCTGCTCACCTTCTTATCAGTGCTATGTCTGGTATGTTGTGAAGAGCCCTTTTAAAAAAAATTTTCTTTTCCTGTTAGAAGCTCCCTCCATGTTAAAGGTTTTATGGCTCTCTTTGAGCAGTTGGTGACCTGACTGAACACAAATTGTTCTGTTCCCTTTTTTTTTGAGTTTGGTATACTATGCTTAGCATTCYTGGCTGTGAATTGAATTCAGCCCTCAATCACTGACAGATTTTGTGTGTAAATTACACATTCCCCCAAGACTGCTCAACTTTGCTTCTGCTGACTGTGAGCATTTGCAGTTTGGCAAGCTAATTTCTGTACTTATTGCRTGCCAGAGTCCTTCCCGCCTAAATGCTGAGAATTACAAATTAGGTGTTGTCTCCTGAGTAACAGCATATATTGTTGAAGTGCAAACTAAATTTGGCAAAAATGAGTTTAACATAGAGACACTGSAATTAGAGGGCTGTTTTCCAGCTGCTGAAACAGGAGATTAAACAGAAATGTCAAACAAATGCCATCCTCACAATCTAGTTGGCACCACAGTGTTAATTAAAAGCTACCTGCAAAGTCCAAGACAGACTTCCTTGGATTTTTCTCTTCTCTCTTGTATGCAAAGAATTTCGTGACATTAAGCTAATGAAGCGAAGTCCAGTATAAATTGTGGCACTGTGCAGCAAAATGTCAGTGTGCATCTATATATGCACAGGACCCAGGTGGGAGGGCTTAACTCATTTATGGAGAYAGAAAAGAAATAGAAAACAGAAACCTGCTGATGTGGTAACACTTGTCAGATGGCATTAACAGCAGGCCACAGTTAATTGAGTGTGTTGCATTATCACCTGACTTAGGACATAATGTCTGCTGCTAAAGTCCAGGCATAAGTGTAGCTGGATCAAGATTCAGAAGCTGTGTTATGCCTGTTGCTTGTGTGAGGAATTACAGCCTTTTTGTTGCAGAGTTGAAGGGCACCACAGGGATCAGTTAGTCCATCCCCCAGCCCCAAGGCASTCTCAGCTATGCCATTCCTTTCAAATTGTGCTTCGCAGGAGTTGGCATCTCGTATAGATTTTGAGAGCCTAGGTTCTTGATTTATTCAAGGCTTATGTCATTCATCCAGCCTGCAGACTCGGAGTGAAACACTGGGGAAATATTTAGGGAGAAGGCAAGGATGATAGGGAGGAACCCCCCKTTTGTACAAGTGCCTTTTCTCAAGGACAGAGAGAATGCCCATCCCATTCTATTGTGTAGGCAGGGAGGGAATCAGCCTCCTCCAAACACCCATGTGAGGAGAAACCTGTTAAAGCCCCTGTTCCAGCCGCCAGCTTGGCACAGGGGTCACTGGAAATGATCTTTCCCTGTGAATGTTTCCTTCACAGAGCTGTCTGATGACACTCTTGCCCTGCTGCGTGCSTGCTGTGATCTTCAGGTTGTTCCAGCACTGTGTTGTTTGGTGAGTAATGGAGATGGGACCGTGGTTTGTGGGCACAGCAGCAGGAATGGCTGTGTCCTCAGCCATGTTTTTCCCCAATAAAGGAAGAGATGTCAAGCTCCAGTGGGAATTTRTGTGTAGCCAAGTTCAGAGTCTGACATGGCAAACAAAGCACATAATTTATTGCAGGTGGATACCTCACCTCTGAGCATTGCTGTATTTGGGAGATTTCATGGGTTGKGAACGAAAGAAAATTGTAACTTAAGCTCCAGTTTTATTTTTCTAATAGTCTCACTGTTTTAAAGTCTCAGTAACAGTAATCCCCTCTCCCTGGGAAACAGAAATTTCRCTTYGGTAGCCACAGTGCTTGAGCCTTGSCAAACCCTGAAATCCCAAAACTCTGAGGCCATTTATTGAAACTGCTGAAGGAATGGTGCGGGGCATTAGAGTAATGGAACACCTATCCTGTGAKGAAAGGRTGAGARAATTGGGTTTGTTCAGCCTGGACAAGAGAAGGCTTTGGGSTGACTTAATTGCAGCCTCCCAGTACCTGAAGGGAGGTTGCAAAGAAGGTGGAGGGGGACTATTTACAAGAGCATATAGTGACTGGACAAGGAGGACTGGATTCAAACTGAAAGAGAGTAAGTTTATATCAGATATTAGGAAGAAACTCTTTGCTCTGAGTGTGGTGAGGCACTGGAACAGGTTGCTCAGAGAAATTGTGGATGCCCCATTCCTGGAAGTGTTCAAGGCCAGGTTTAGGTGGGGCTTTGAATAACCTGGTCTAGTGAAAASTGTTCCTGCCCAAGGCAGGGGGATTGGAACTGAATGATTTTTTAAGATTCCTTCCAAACCAAAATATTCTGTGATTCTCTGTTTTTTTTTGAGCTTTTTTAAGTCGCTTATCAAAACAATAGTAAAATCCTTTAAGTATGTAGGGGCAAGGGGAGTTCACTGTTTGCTCAGTGATAGTTAAATGTGATGTGCAGTAAGAGACGTTGAAGTCAGGGAATGACGCACTCCTTAAAGTGTGCCATAGAGCTTTGGTCCTGGATCAGTCCRTTGTACTTGTCAGGGCTAATAGTAAAGGGAATCTTGACCTTTTGCTGCTGCCTTGTAAGCTCTCCAGTGGTTTTGTATAAAGAGCTGAGCTGTGTGATGGCAGGAACAGCAGTGCTTGAAAAATGTTTTAATGTCTCTGTCTTTTGCTCTCTCTCATAAATACAGCCTAACGCCGCTTCAGCTGATGGCACTGTGGCGCTGAGCAGTCCTTTGGTGGCCACTCTYGCTGACAGAGGAAGATTTGAGGTCGTGCAAAGGCTGTTTGCTTCATCAAACATTAATCTGGAAATGACAGAGTCTTCTGTAAAAGCTGTAACTATGAAAGAACCGAGATTCTTCCCACTTGTTCTTTATGTGGCATTGTATGGATTTCATGCTTTGGGTGGGAATGTATAGGAGCTGAACTGTGTATCCAGTTTCTGCTCTAGCCTGTTGTTTTTTTCTGTAGCTCTGTAGTGTTGGTGTGTTTGGGATAAGCAGCAGAGCTGCTCTGTGGGCACTTAGGGCAGCACAGCCAGAGATTAGGGTGATCAGGGGATTCTGCAGTTTCAGTGGAAAATACATAAATAAAGGATGAAGAGGAGGAATTAAAAAAGAACCATGGAAGAGAAATTGAACATAGCTGCTGTAGTAGGTGTCAGATCTGCAGGGCAGTAGGAGCCTGATTGCTTGCATTAATATGCATGGGAGAAAACAGCRAAGTACAAACTGCTTTTTGTAAGCAGGCAAACAAGCAAGCCCTGGAAACCCAAAGTTCTGCAATGCAGCAACTGCTTASCTCCTTCAAGACTGGATGGAGCAAGTGCAGTGGAGGGCTCTTAAAAAGGTACTTGATTAGATTCTCTTATTAATTATTGTTTGGCTTTAGGATGTGAACTGCACACTGCAGGAAATCAGAAAGCCTCTTTTTCAAAAACTAAGATCACTTTAGGGATTTATACCTCTGTACAGCACTTYTGTTTTCTGGTATGTTTTTACTCCCTTAGCAAGTTTCAGCTCTTTAAACTGCATTCTGCACTTTGAGGTATGGCAATGCCTTTTGGTGTGTGCACATGAAGGGTCCTTGCTCCACACCACAAAAATGATCATTTTACCCATATGACATTTTAAGTGCAGATATTTTGCTTGTTTGAATATCAGCAAAGCATTAGTAAAGCACTGTGTGCTTGAACTATTTAGCCTGTTTCTTTGTTATAATTTTTTGTAATCATGGATGAAGCAGAAATGCAGCAGAGATCACTGTAAATGTGGGCTTGGGAAGGTGATGTTCCAAGTAGGGGGAGTATCAGTGCTTGCAGATGAGATTGTGAGATGGCTGAGAGACAAACAAGCAGGCACCGGTGGGGGGATGATCAGTACACCTGCAGTGTAGCTGATGGGCAGGAATTCTGCTCAGTTCCCTTCTCTATTCCCACATGGCCTTGAGCAGATTGTCTAAGAAGCCTTTAAAATGCCACATCAGTTCAGGTTTCCCTGAGGACACGGACTTGGCAGAAAAGCACCGCGGTGCCTTTCCATTCCCCGAGAGCTCAGGATAGCTCTGCACGTGGGGCTGTGGGCGTTTCTGCATCTCATCTGTTAAATGAAGCTGATGGTGTTGCCTGAGCCTTGTGCTGGTGTAGAGGGAAAGATCCTTTAGGAGGATGGAAGCATGTAACTGCTGCTGGGAGTGATGTGTGTTTGTCAGCAGGAAAGTCTTCTTTTGCCCATTGCTAATCAAAACTTGCCTCTGTAATGAGTTTACCAAAACTTTCTATTAAATGCTATGTCAAAACAATAGAATAATTTATAAAACCTCATGCATTGTAATTTGTATTGTTTTTCTTTTGGGGATTCCTGTCATGCCTTTGGCTTTGAGAAGTGGTGTACACAGATGGCAAATGGCTGTGTGGATATCTGTGTTGTGCCCCTGTCCATGTGTTCTGACCTTTGCAGAGCTTTGGGATGAGCCTTGTGAGCACTACAYTGTGTGGCTGCTTACAGGGTGTGCCTGCTGTGTTACACGTAGGGGAGGGAACTTGTTTACAAAGGTGGAAACCCACCGCCCACCCCAAATGTTGTGTGTTTTATGGACACACCATTAAAAAAGAAAAGGTTTTGTTTTGTTTCCTGCTGCTCCAGCTTGATGCACTGAACAGGCAGCCTTGGGCCTGCACAACAGGAGAGACAGGAGGAGCACAAAGCAAACAGCCCCAGGGAACCCAGGCTCCCTGTTGCTTGTGAGGATTGCTGGGGTCTCTTGGCTCCTCACCTCATCTGCTGCCCTGGGATTCATCAGTGCATCTGGAGAAGACACTGGTTGCATTTCAGTCTTGGCTTTGTCCTCCTATCTGCTCTTTGTGGAGGGGTTTCCCAGTTTTCCTCCAAYTGGCAGCACTCCTGTGATCACAGAAACACCTCTGGACCAGGTAGGGTACAATGGCCTTTTTRGCACAGCTGGACAAAAGCACTAAGGTAGGTTATATGTACATAATTTTCACAGTAGTTGATTCTTCCATGGACTTGAAGGTAGGATCCTTATGCACAGTAATTTTAAAGCTAGCTCAGACTGSGGATATGAATATCCAAGGGAGCAGCAGAAGCCGTATTTCTCTCTCAAGTAATTCCCATCCTGCCCTTCCCTAAGCTAAAAGCATGGCCTCTTCAGGGACCCAACCTCACTGATGCCAATTAATTCAGAATCCATTTTGGAAGAGCTGGATTTGCATCTGCTACATCTTAGACAAACAAGYGATTCCCCGCTGGCCTCTCATGGAAAATGCATTTTCAAGCTTAGATGTGGTCTTCCCTAGGAAAGGAGGTGATAAAAGACCTGTAGGGTGCTTCAGAGGAGGCTGAAGCTTGCCTCATAAAAGGTTGGACTACACACCCTGACTTACCTCCCCAAAATACTGCTTCCCTTYGCATTCCCCAGGAGGAATGTTGGAAAATCCACACCTTTGCAATGCAGGAGGAGGCCAGCAGCCTTTCAAGGAGCATGTGGTACCTTCAGAGGCCAGCAGGCTCAGCCTTGCTGCCGGTACCCAGAACTTGTGTCCTTGCAGCTGCTCACTCCGAGTCCCCCGGGCTTTGTCCACTGGCTCATTCCAGTGTGTGCCCAGAAGGATTCCCTTGGTGCTGCAGTGCTCAGAAAATAARACACCCAGATTCAGCAATGATGACATTCCCAGGGTGCCTGAAGGGCCCCCAGGGTTTCCCTATACATGAAATGGGGATTTGGCACATTCATGAACATCAACCAAGACCAACTGAAAAGCTGCTTTTATGAATGTGGAGATCAAAGATAAAAGCCAGTTACAAAGACTGCTCCTTGATATGTTATGTGGCTCAAATGCAGACTAGGACCAAAAAAAATCATTAAAAAAGCCAATTACATTTTTTCAATATTAAATCTTTATTATGTACAAAAATATTTTGTTGGGAATTAACAGAATTTCATCATTTGTACATTAACATTTTTATGTTTGGCTGTGTTTATTGTGAAAATATTAGCTGTGAAAAAGACAAAGGGGGGGTCTTAGAAAACAAGTCACAATTTAAAAACATCCCACATAGTAGCTGACTTTATCAGTATGAAGTCACAATGCTAACAAGTCCCATATCCTAGGCCTGCTCTACAGTACTGTATTCAAACKATTAGGTACTAAATAATTTCCAGGTTTACATTAAAAAATTTAGCTAATAGTTAAGATTTTTCTTGTAGGAAGATTTCAGCTAAAGAAACTAATTTTTTATAGGAGAGCAGTTTTGAAAGTTTTACAAATGTCAAATCCAGGTTAATTTAATATACTGTAAAATAAAAAAAAAATACAAAAACAAAACCATGAGAGCTTCCAACTGGCAAAACCAGTTGTGAGAAGAAGCAAGGTGAGGAAATGCACGGTGACAGAGTTCTAGTACACACTTAAACTCAAACACAACCAAGATCCTACAGTTCTTAGCCTGGTGTGGGGTGGGAGCAGCAAACTTTCTTGTGTTTAAACCCCACAGAAGCKGTTCCCCTCCTCACACCACAGTGCACAAATGAGGGGTCACATATGGGGGGTGGGGAARGGATGCTCAACATGCATTTTCCTAYGGGGAGAAATATATTTCAACAGTTATCTCCATACATAATTGTGTACRAGACTTAAACCAACAAAAATTGGTCAAAACCTTTCTTTGCCTCTACAAAGCAGCGCTGTTCCTTTTGCTCTATGCTATGGATCACATGAGAGGTCAGGAATCAGAGAGGTTGGGTTTTCAGAAGAGACTCTACTGTATTCAGGTAAATGTTGGCTGCTTGTGGAGTAAACAACAGTTGGCTCAGCCATAAGAAGAGCCAAAATTGCGTGGAGAAGCATTAGTGTGGAGCTAGTGACATAAAAGGGAAAAGGCTGAATGGGAGAAAGTGTTTCCAGGACTACTTTAACTATGTTACCCAACCACTGTTCTAGCAGCAAAAGGAACTCCATACCCAATGAGCATAAGAAACGGCTCCAAATACCGAGAATAAATTTAATTTATTTCAAGTGTCATTTATTCTATAAAATATAAACATTGCTGAACCCCTGCTGAATAAATGCTATTTGTAGCTGAAACTGCCTAACAGCCTTCACCAAGCTGGGGTTTGTTTTTAAGCCTGTACCAGTAAACCCCAGCTGCAGTACCAGCAAATTAACTGAGAATTCAGCACTTGAAAATATGAGTGTGGAATAGTACCCCACTGTGGAGAATTCAGGTACCTTAGTACACACTGCCTGAATTACTTGCAGCATCTACCCCTAAGTTTTATTTAAGTATATGTGTATGTGTGTGTGTAAGTAAAGGTACGAGCACACTTTCAATATGATTAGAAGCCAAAGCTGCCTGTAAAAATAACTAAAACTGGTTATTTTACAAGTGTTTTCTCTCTAGTATTTTTCTTGGGTCTAAAACCAGTAAGTTACACCAGTCCTAAATACTGATGTTCATACTAACTACTATTTCCTCTACAAGACACAAGTTGAGAATCCCAGACAATTCCCATTGTAAGCCTGTTAAACATATGTGAAAACTAAGGAGATCAGGCCAAAAAAAGAAGAAACCCAGGAAAAAAAGAGAAGGGCCAGGACTTCACTTCAGCACCGTCAGTCACACTAGTCCAYCAGAGAAAGTAAATTAAAGAACCTTCAAGGATAGAAACCCTTCAGTGGCCCAGGAGAGGTTTTTATTGCCAGGGGAAGAGGGTGCTGGGAGCTGAGGGGTATTTAAGGCAAGAGGCCCAGCAGACTACGAGTCTTTGATCCAGTACCCACTACACAGACACCAATAAAATGATCTCACCACTTCTGCAAAAGTAGTATCATGAAGTTTGGCAATAACAATGTGGTATTTGAACTCTTTGGAATTTGGGTGAGGCAAGAAACCCCACGTGAAGCAAACAGCCTGTGCAGATTTGCATGACATGCAACAGAGCTCCAGCTGTTGGTTGTCTGAGAGCTGCACCCACAGGCACAATGGGCAATGGGGCAGCTACTGCAGGAGGCACTGTCCATGCACTGGGACGCGGCCTCAAGGTTCAGTGTGAGTGGAGAAGCAAGCTACAGGAAGCCTGGATGAGAAACTACGGGATAGGTGAAGGAAGTTYATGTTCACAATACTGGCTCATGCTTAAGGACAGGTAAGAACCCAGTTCCTGATCACTGGAGTGCTCTGCTTGATTGTTCTYCCCCGCTCCTTGAGCACAGCAGAGGCCAGCTGGGCTCAAGAGGGTGCCTAGCCAGGGATTTCTGTGTTTCAAAGGAAAAGAAGTTTCCTATTTCTTAGCTGAATCACCTTCTTCAAAACAAAACCAAACCCAGATGACTTCCTGAGCACTGAGCTGCAGGCAATTTGTACAGCAAGTCACTTAGGTATGATTTTTGAAGATGCAGTGAGTACAGAGGATGAGGAAATAAATGTCACAATTTGAGCTTAGCCAAGATGTGACAGATTATATAAACACAAATTCAAAAGCAATGAGCTGATCTGCCATCCTGCTCCACAAAGCTTTTGTACAACTAAGCACACAAAGCTGCCCTGATCCAAGAACACAGCACAAGTCACGGATACTGCATTGGTTATAAACTCGATTTTCCTTGCCTACAAAGAGCTGTGATTCTGCTCCATGTTTACTTTCACTGTGTACCTGCAGAACGTTTGGAAATAATACTTTTATAAATCTATGCAAGATAGCATATTCCATTATAATTATCCCACTAAGCTTGGGCTGCATCTTGTCACGTGATGCAGAACCTAAAGCAGACCTGTTATAACATTTAGAGACAGCAAGGTAATTACCTGGGTACACATGCACCACAGTTATTTACAGGAAAGGTGAGATCGGTGCGCGCTTAAGTGAAYTTTTGGTGAATTCAGGGAAATAACTTACAGGTCTTGGCATACTGACTGTACTTCTATGTATAACTTTTCATTCACAGGGCAACTACAGTGTTTCTTCTATAAGTCTCTATATGTACAGAATTTTACAGCACCTCATGCACTGTCCAAAACAGATAGAAATTACAGATAAATATAGAATTCTTTTAGATTGAAATATCTGTATATTTAGAAAAATATACATTAGTAAACACAATAAACAAGGTAGAGAAGTGTACCAGTTCTAAAGTCTCACATGCAGGTACATTTCTGGATTAAGTCATGGTAACTTAGTAATGTGGTAACTGACATGAGCATTTTTTGTTTTACCATCCACATACATACATATACACAGACAACTATTTGATAATTTACTTTTCTAAACTACTTAAATATTTATCTTGTGATACATACCACATATCTTAAACATTTAGCAGCATCTTCACCTCGCTCAGACACACCTATTATAATCTTTAACAGTCAATGTAAAGTCTTCCTCTTACTATCTGGAAAATGAATGTTTAGTACAGAATGAAATAACATGAAATCCCAGTTATTTTAAYTCCTCCAAAATTCTTCAAACAGGTGTTACATGAAATGTTTTTGCTTGCTCAAAATGAGCCTTTCCTAGTGTCTTTTTCCCCTAATTGCACAATGTACAGGCCCCTGTCTGACAGCCAATCTAGCACACCCTGGCAGGAAGGGACTATCACTGCTGTGGATGTGACTAAAATGGCACCAGCATTTCAAGAACCTCCAAGAAMATTCTTTTTCAAAACCAGTAACTGTTACTCTCATTCCAGTCATCCKACCAGGCAGGGACAAACTAAGCAGAGTGTCTGATGAAAATCTGACTTTGCCAAAAACCAAAACTACCACAAAGAAACAAATCAAYCTCTCTCCCCCTCTCACCATTAAACACACCAATGTGAACCCCCAAGATTTAACAAACAGGCRCCAAGGGTTGTGGTGTTTGGGCTGTTTTCCCCTCCCAACCCAGCATCCAAATCAAACCKGCAGATACTTCCATGTGATCTTTGTGCCGATCCAAGCAAGCCACATTCTCTGACTGCTTCAGAATTACACTGCAGAATTGCTCACTGCCATCTACACCACCACCTCCCAAAGCTCAGCCATGAGGCTCCACTGCCTGATTTAAGCACGTAGTGTCAACCTGTAACAAACACTAAAGGCTTTAGCAAATACATGGCTATTCTGGAGATTGCTAACTAGGGAAACTCTCTTGACAGTATTGTTCCTAGGATGGAAACAGAATGAGCAGAGAGGTTTTCCTGACTAATCCTTAATGTCTGTGTTTCATGTGTTTGGTTCAGTAAATTTATGGGAAAAAAAGATGAAAATAAGTGATGTTTGCAATATGAAGTACTGTGGTGCGTAAACTGAAGAATCTTCTCATTTCATTCATTAGGGAAGAGTGAACTCAGCCCACTTTTGGCATCACAAATAAGAGTATATTTCTAACTCATAATGAAAAGGCATCTTATCTGTCCAGAAAGCACATCTTATTTACAGCATATGGAGGTCTCCCGTGACACAGCGCACAAACACATTTCAGTCATGTTCAGCATAGAGTGCCAAAAGCAAACCACTGAAATAGCCAAGCAACAGCCCTGCTATCATTTGTTGCTACACACAACACTTGATCCACTTCTCAAAGCAGCCTCTGAGCAACAGGATCACAGAATATTTCTCCTGGGAAAGAAAACTACAAGTCCCATGCTGAAGCCACATTTAAGAGCTTTGCCAAACTTAAACAAAACCAGAGAAAACACATCTTGGAAAGCATAACAATAAAACAAAGCAGTGGTACAAATTTTCCTTAGAGAATTTCATATTCCCTCTAAAAGACTGAAATCTCACTATTAAGAGCCACAAAGATTTCCTGCGCTATACAAAAACTTAACTAACATTTTCCGCATACTGGGATTTCAAGTCCCCTCTGCCCCTCTTCCCCCACAGCAACCAACTTTACAGGCTGTGTAAAAACCATCTGTTGTATCYGGGTGTTTTGAGGTTTTTTTAAACACTGTTTTCCTATACTGTATCAACTCCATTTTTTCTTTTCCTTGTGCACATGAAAGTCTTTTGAAAGCCCCAGGAAGCAATGCTGTTTTACAGTGTCTAAGCCTGTCTTCCTCCAGAAATAGTTCTGAGGAAGATGCCTTTTGAGAGCATTCCGTGTCACACTTCGGTGTTGAAAAAGAATYCAGAAGCCAGGTGCCTGTCACCAGATGGAAGAGAAATTAAACAGATGACTTCAGTTTAGACACCTAACCCAGTATGTGATGGTGAATGTGACTATATACAACAGCTGACATTGTCATATAAAACATGGTCACAAAAAGCTCATCTGAGCAACAAGCTGTATTTTCCTTCTGTTTTCATTAAGCAGAAACTTACATCAGCTTAAGTTTTGATCGATGAACCTGAACCTAATATGAATTACATCAACGAGCCTACTGAGGGGAGAATTGTCACTAAAAAAGGAAATAGATTGTAAACCAAAAAACTTATAAACAACATTGCTTTTTAGCAGTAAGCTTCCAATTTACAAGCTATCTAAAGAAAAATGCAATTAAAAACAATGAAAGAAAAAGCACAGAAATGCCATTACACAACACTCATAAAATACAGCAGTTGATCACACACAAATATTTAAAAGATAATTTAGACCCAGCTAGACATCACAGGAAATGAAGCCCCAGATCACTATACAAACACAGAACAATGTCCTATGAAAAGAAAATGCCTTTTTTTTTTAAGCAATGTGTGAATAAATAGTCCTAAACATTAAGTGTCACCTACAAGGCTCCACATTATCAGGTTCTCTCAAGCTACTTCACCATTATTCAAATTGCACTGAATTACCTTGCGTATGACTTTCTAATGTCAGTACTTCAACTGTGTGGGCTAACAGGTTGGGTCCCAAGAAAGCCAAATAAGCAGCTTGCAAGGTATTGCTCTATGTTATTTTAGGAGACAGATACAAGGGAACCTACACAAAAGATATCTAAATCAAGAGATATCAAGAACTTGTGAAACATCAGGAATGCACCAACATTAAGCTGAAAGCAGCTGGAGCAATGGACCTGTGTTTTTGTTACTGCTTTTAATATTTAAAATTCTGCTCCCACAAATTTATTATCTTTTAAAGAAGAAAAAAACCYTAAAGAAATTAGTATTCTTTCCTAATAAGAGCTATAGACTTTTGATCAGTTAAACACTGACATWAACAAATTTTACAAAAATTGTTTCAAGTATCTTTTTTTTTAATCACAGTGAAAATGTAAGACCAAGATGTAAATGTTGAAGTGAATGACTGAAAGTTTCTCAGATGAAAAAGGCAAAGGTACTAAATCAAAACATAGAAAAATGCTTAAACGCATTTCCTTCATGTGATATGAATAGAAAGGTTATCTGTAAAAAGTTAGAAAAATTAAAATAAATTACATATTTAAGTACACTTTCTCTTCAACATTTTTATAAAAATTCAGAACAGTGTACTTTTGAATATACACAGAGTAAAAATGCACAGGTGCTGCAGGTTATCAGTATGTACACGTCACATTTGCTGCTGTTGACTTTATTTGTTACTTAAGCTCCTGTTGGAACACCTCAATAGACCCAGCTGATGGGGACCCACTGTGGCTCCAGCCTCAATCTCTCAATGGCCGTTTGCAGCTTCTCAAAGGCTTTGTCCAGGTTGTCATTGACAATGGTCAGGTCAAAGTAGTGGTTGTAGGCTCGCTGGATCCGGGCACTCTCATCCACTGTTTTTTTCAGATCAGTGTCCTGTGGAAGAGATTTTTAAAGATTACTGAATCTAAACCTTACCTAAAATTTAAAGATAAGCCTTGGTAAATCCATATAGATAAAGAAGAAGATCCCTTCAGTACATAATGCTGAATCAGATTTCAATTTAAAGCTAGATACTGAATGTATTTTAAAAACAAGGAAAAGTTTTCATTTATAGTAAATTCATAGAGAAATTCAGCTAAAATACACTGAAAGGGCTGAAAAAGTTCTGAGTTAGTTGTGTCAATAATATTAAATATGACAAGCAAATGTTTGSCAATCTTGCAATTTTGAAAAGATTCGATAAAAGCATGTGAATTTGGGCTGGTGTGCAAAATGGGAAGGTAATCACTTTGTATGGCTAACTGATGATCCAACCAGAATAAAATTAAAGCTCTAGGAATGACTGAGTCAAGCAGTTTTGTACATATATTTGTGCCCCTTTTATTTCCACAGAAGGCACCCAAAATCCAAGATTTTAAAATTAGTATGAAAGACAATTTCTACCACAATAAAGCTCTGGAATACCTTATGGCTCTTAGACACAACATTAGACTCGCTCACCTGACACCAGTCCCTCATTTTTARCTACTGCTACTGCATTATTGTAGTCCTGATATGAGCTGCAAAATATGCAGGAAACATAYTCCTACATTATCAAGCTTTTATAAAGTTCTTCTGAGCACATTTTGTGTTTTGCTATTAAAAATTCCTCTCAATTTTTGCACAACAGCAATTTTTTTTTGTAAGCAGTTATGAGATCTGTCCCTCTTTGTATTTTTTAATATTTTCAAGTCCTTATGCAGCTGTCAATATAAAAGCTAAAATGAAAACTAAGTTTGTCAATAGCCTTTCCTTCATAGTAAATGAAGGAGACAAGTAAATATATGACCGCATGAGCCAGAATTTTTGTAATGGAATGGGTTAGGATGCTAGAAATAATACACCCAGACCCACTAACAAGCAGACCATAATAATTTAAATGACATTTGTTTTCCATTTGCTCAGGAAGCACAAGAATATGAAATAGCAAACCATACTCTATAGACGTGCACAGATGCGATTCAGAATTCGTAAAGACATGTAAACGCATATTTGAAATTTAATTATGCTCTTTATTATTCATAAGAAGTAATACAGAGGCAAGGATATCCCTTAGGGAATCAAATATTAGAAAGTACAGGAAATTATTTTTATACTTTTCTGGACAGTTTTAACCTTGCCTTCTTGTTTATGCACCACAAAATTCAGGGTTCATTTGYGGTAGGAAAAAGGAATGGCTGAGCATCCTGAGATACTAGAATGCATAATAATCATAATGCATGACTAAAAATCACATACTCATTTAGTGGAAAYACTAACCCACCCCCCATTTTATAGTTCTGAATGCCCTGTCAGCATTTATTCAAGATATTCCTACTAAGCTGCAACACTATCGTTATGAGCCATCAGCAAAACACGGCTTTTCTCCATTGGGGAAGTTGAACTGCTCAATCTGGCTTTTTTTTGCTTTGCTCCTGCAGCTGGGAAAGTTCGTGCCCACACAGAATATTTATAATTTGCTGCACTGGAAAAAAACATGTCTCATTTCCTGCTGCTACAAATTGTGTCTCAGAAAAGGAGGGAAGGTCTAACAAACGTAACATGCCACTTCACTTTATTTAACAAATCCAAGGAACTTCAGGGGAAACTGCTCAACACTTCCTATTCTGGCAGCTCTCAGCCATTCTCACTGCAGCACGTGCTGCTGCAGCAGTGGAAACAAGGACTACCTTCACTTTTAGTTGTTTTGTGGGGGCTTTTTTGGTTGGTTGGTTGGTTGGTGGGGTTTTTTGCTCTGTCTTTTTTTGACACAAGCTGTAATATCTTTCCCAAGCATTACAGATAACATTTTTCAAGCACACATGTATTGTAAGATAAACTGAAACAAAAATTTGGGTGGGGAAGGAGATGGGAAAGTCAAAACAGACATCTGTATAAACGAAGAATTCCCACCATGCAGTATCTACCAYTTGCTGCAAATAATCAAAGGTGACACTTCCCAATGTATACATTACAAGTAATTTTTGTAATCAACACTTCTCTGTAAGAGGTCTATTTTTAAGAAAGATGCAATCTTCCTTATACATAGTTTTTGATGAACTTCTACTAGGTAATCAGCAAAAGTCTTGCCTAACTTTTCTTAGAGACATTAATTTCAGAACAAATCCATCTAAAATAAAATGTAAAGAAGTTTTAAAAATCAAGGAACATGTTCAAAGCTAACTAAAACARAAATTATCTGCTTACAGTGAGAAGTTTGGTTGTAATTCCAGCATCTACCACAGCCTTGTGCATAGCTCGCAAAGTCTCCAACTCTGGAGCAGCAATAAACACCACATAGGGCATGAATTCTGAAGTCCTCAGTATTTTCAGGGCCTAGAAGGAAAGAAAAAGAGAACAAAAAAAACCACTGAAGTTTGAGAATGACTCACCACATGTCCCTGTTGCTTAAGGAACACTGCAAAACGAATCTGTTAGGCAGGGACACAAGTGAAGATTCTTCTTTCCATTTTAGAAACCACTATTGCCTTTTGCAATGCACAACATCATTCTTTTCTTGGCTAAAAACATTATTTACTACTCTGCAAGACTCCTCTTTTATGCAGAATTTAAGCTGGCTTTTTTCCCATCTTTCTAACTCATTCCAACCATGTGTCACAAACACAAGAATCCAGTTGATAACTGTAACCTTGAAACAGGTAAGAAACTTTCAAATTTGAAGGCGTATCTCTTCAGCTCTTCAACACTGTAATCCCACACTTGCAGTGCAGCATTATAAATCATATACCTGTGGATTTACATCCAAGATGCAGGTCCTTCCTGTCTGAACAACTTCAAGGATGGAATCAATTTTGGTGCCATAAAGATTTCCTTCATATTCTCCATGCTCTAAGTATCTGCCAGCTTTAATATCCGTCTCCATTTCRGCTCGTGACACAAATCTGTAGGCTTGCCCATCTTTTTCATCATCCCTTGGCTTTCGTGAAGTAACTAAACAAAAAAAAAAATAAAATATAAATTGAATATCTTCTTTTTATATTTGGAATATAAAGATGAGACTGGACTGCCTATTAAGTTGGGGGGACTATAATACACATTAATATACAATTGTAGTTGTTCCGTGCAATGTATTATTCTAGTGTAACTTTTGAAACTGAGTACAGCCCCTCCTGTTCTCTTTATTTATATTCTTTCCTATATSTTGCTTATCTATCCATTTGCCTATKTCCTTTGTCTTACTCCTTCACACCRTATSMAATACTCATACACGTCATCTTTTTAATTATTCACTTAATAAAATAATTATTTAACTGACTTGGAAATCAAATAGAATTTTAACTCTCAAATGCCAAATGTACTTCTGAAAGCAGCTGAGTACACAAGATCTGTCCCATCCCACCCCCAAAACTTTGGTCTCTGTATTTGCCCTGTTATTCAGGGTAGAAWTACCTGAGCTAGCTATTAAGAAAGTTTGCTTAAATATCATAAGCAGCCCAGCCACCGTAGCAGAATCTTAGTGGAGGCCAGCTAATGCTGTTTTCCAGGACAACTTCCATTTTAAAGCAGGGAATATTCCCTGTAGAAAGATTAAAGCCAGCATTTAAGTAAATCATTGTCAGCTACCTTGGGTATTGGCTACACTGTGAAGTACAGATGTTACTTAYGCAAGAAAGTTAAAATAAAATCTTTTAAAAGTAAAAATATAATATTGATTTTGCTGTCCTATCACCATATTACCTACCCGCTACTTATATTTAATAAGATACAAACKCTAGAAAATTTTAAACACAACAGTCAATGGATTCCTTTGGTAACACTTGTATCATCACTTGGTGCAACTTGGTGATTCAAGTATAAAGCAATCTTTCCCTTCCAGTAATTCTTATCCATTTTGATATTAATGAAAACTCAAGTTCCAGGAAAAATGATCATCTGAAACTGTTAAGAATAAATATATTACTAGAATATGTAGTTTCAGTCAAAATTCTACAGAAAATATAAAACTATAGTGGTTAAGACAATACATTTTAAAAAAATAATTTATCAGTTTGCAATGAATTTTGAAGTGCRAGCTTTAACATTTTGCAGCCAGGTGTTCAGTTAACTATGCTGAAGAAAAACCACTGCACCATGTGCTGGATGAGAACGCAATACCAAGAACATGCTTCTCCACACAGCACAGTGGATTCATTTCACCCATTTTCTACCTCCTAAAACACATCCTACACAATTTTTTTCATGAATAACCTGGAGAATTTTCTTCTAATCAAAGACATYGAGACCAATTAAGTTTACTGATTATCCCACTTAAAATCTAAAGTAGAGAAGAGATTCTATATACAATAAACTGGGCACTGCATATGCATGATTACACTATCAGATAAGGAAAAGTTTACTTTTGTGCCTTTGAAGAATATTCAAGAACTCCAAGTAAAAGCATTTTAACACTGTGTTGCATTACTTACATATATTCAAGCACCTGTATAGCATTTTAGAGAAGTAAGCAATTCTGAAGGCTTTTTTGAAACAGAGTAAGAATTTTAGAGGCAATAAAATGTCACTCACTATTTTTCCCATATAAAATAAGGAAATTCCCAGGAAATAATTTATTTTAAAAAGTAACACTGAGAAGTCAACTTTGTTATCAGGTCCACATACAAATTCTAAGTGACCTGGCCAGTTTTGACACTAGATTCAGCAAATGAGAGAGAATGGCTCTCTCATATTGCACAATTCATCTTTCAGACCTGTTCCTCCTCCCCTGTTATGATCAGATCTATTTCTTGCCCACTGGAAGCAGAAGGGAACAGACTGTTTTTCAAATTCTGAAAAACACATGGCAGGAGAATATGTAGCTAGAGTGGGCTTCTCTGGTCAGCAGTCAAACAGGAGGGAGCAGTTAAAAAAACAAAGATGAATGAGCAAAGTRTCTGGAGGAAAGTCAAGAAAACATACTTCAGTAAAGAAGGTTTTTTTCTGCTGTTTATAGGGGGAAAATTGAAAGACTGTGTGCTTAAGGCCAGATATATTAAACATTAGATAGTTAYACAAATCTTGGAGATCACAAACACTTAAGATTTATTGGAAGCTAGTTGCTTTTCCCCACATTTCTAATWCTAAAGCAACAATTTATAATGCCTAGTCCACAGGTGGAAAACTAAAAAGGCAGGCCTGAGAATCTCCACTGGCCGTTCATTACAGAAGGCTACTGGGGACTTCTGGAATCCCCTTAGTAGTGGATGGTGACTGACACTGAAGAAACCTGCAGACTGAAATACTGCACAGACAAAAACTCATTTTCTGCAGCATCAGTAACATTTAAGTGCTAGTTACAAATATTTTCATGGTCATATATTAGTTCAGTTGTCTGAAAACAGGAAGAGCCTTTTGTTTTCCCACTATACAATTTTTATGCTCTGACAAAATCACTCCTACACCGAATCACTAGGATAAACATCAAGTAATTCCAGTTAATCAGGCTCAAAGCATGATATTTTAATAGGAATGCTGGCAACTTACATGGCACTGTAGTTCCAAATCTAGTAGGATTCAGTACGATAAACCTGTTCTTCAAACTCCTTCGCCCCACTCCTTGGGCCCCAATCAAGACCAGAGTTTTCCTCTGAAAAGGAGGCATTTTGGCTACTTCCTCATATATCTGGATTTCATGGCGATCAAATTCTACATTGAGAAATGTACAAAAAACTTTAATACACACTCCATGCTATAAGAAAAGAAATTAAATAGTGGTGCAATTTATCAACAGASCCCATGTGAATATAAGCAGTATTCAGAGGGCAGTAAGTCTAATACARGACTTCTTGCTTTAAATTGGTTTGGGAATAAAATATTTATCACTCCATGGACAGCATCAAGTCAGATTCTCACTTTTACTTCCAAGGAGAATGTCTATGTTTGATCAGAAGGGGAAAACTGTGATTAACAATTAGGGAGCTTTCACAGAATCATGGGATGGTTGAGGTTGGAAGGTACCTCTGGGAGGCTTCTGTTCCACCTCAATGCCCAGGACCACATGCAGATAGTTGCTGAGTATATCCAAGAAGGATGACTCCATGACCTCTCTGGACAACCTGTGCCAATGCTCAGTCACCCTCRCAGTGGAAAAGGTGTTTTCTGATGYTCAGAGGGAGCYTCCTGTGTTGCTTGCTGGCTCTTGCCCTGTCACTGGACTACAAGAGCCCKGCTCCATCCTCTTTGCCCTCTCCCTTCAGGTATTTGTACACCTTGACAAGAGCTGCCCTGAGTCTTCTCTTCTCCAGGCTCTCTTCCAGCTCTCTCAGCTTTTTCTCATGGGAGAGATGCTCAGTCCCTTCAACATCTTTGTGTGTCCACATCTCTCTTGCACTGCAGAGGTGCCCAGCACACTTAAGTGTAGCCTCACCAATGGTGAGTAGAAGGGAAAAATCACATCCCCTCAGCCCACTCACAACAAACATTTCACTTTTCTTAACACCCAGTTTTTCTCTGATTTCCACCCACCAAATGATGTACTCAGTGACCATGTCTGCGGTGGTCACCATTGCTTTTAAACCATAAAAACTATCTGTTCTATSAAACTTATAACCAAATATTTTACTGCAAATCTTTAGCTTTGGAAACACTAGACTCCGCAAGTTCTGAAGCCCAAAGAACTTTGACACAGATGTAACATTAAGACATACCTGCATTTCTTGTAGTGAGATACATCATCTTTTTCTTTTTTTTGCTGCTTATTGTTCCACAGAAAGGTCCTACAAATAAAAAARTCAGATGAACTCAAGATTTCTGTTAAATTCCTAAGCTTATTTACATGAATATATGAAATTTCAGATTAATTAAATTCATWAGGAATATTCTAGAATTGTATATATCCTAGGCAAGCAGTCACATCTATTTACATATACATCAAATGGTATAGGAAGAACTGAATACAGAGAAAATACTGTTTTTCTAGAAAGCTTTGCAAAAAGCAGCTGAAAAATCCATGTTTAGCTAATTAACTTTCAGTGATACTACAAAAAAAATTTAAAGAATGCACACTGCCTGTCCCACCTCATTCAGCTTTTCATCAGCAGGTGGCAAAACTGATTCCTGTATSTTTTTGAACACTAAGCAGAGACTTCACCCTTTGTGCTTCAGCCAAAGCCAAAATACAATATGCAGCAATTCACAATAATCTGTGCAATCTCACGCAACAGTTTTCTATTATTTATAAAGGCAGAAAAAGCATAACAAATGGAGACAGAGCAATATCTGCTCCTGAAATTCACTAAATCTCACCTGAGTTGTCCCAGTCCCTCCTAACAAAAGCCTTTCTCTTCTCTTCCAGGAACTGGCTAGGAATGAGACCTGCACTTCCTCCTTCTTTGACATGACTAGCCTGGGAAAAAAATAATACAAAGGATTATAATTCACTTGTGAGAAGCATTTTTCTCATCAACACRGTGTTAGTTTCTCAGTAGTGAGTGTTGATACATTTCCTCCTAAGACTTGGAAATTCAAATTCAGATGTAAATATTAAAATGCTCCTTTGCAGTAATAGTGACTTGCCATTGAGTATTAAAATTCAAAAAACTTAAGTAAAATAGATGCAAGTTTCATTACTGGTTCCCATTTACAATAGTAAGCTCCTACAGCCATAAAACTTACGCATAAAATTCTGAAGTGGAATTCTCTGGCTCCTGACATTGAAGTCTCAGGTCACAAAACTSAAGATTTTCTAGGATACAGTATACTAGAAAATATATTTTATATTCTTGAGCTGATCCAAACAGGTTCCAGTGCAGCTTATTAACTGTCATTTCCCAGTGAATGYCAGTAACACATCCCTAATCATGCCTTCAAGCTTTTTGCACTGAGCAACTACAGATTTAAAATCTTAGTAACTTAAGTATTCCTAGTAATGAAAATTTGGCTAAAATTATCTATAAAATAATTTCATGGCAAGCTCAATTCTCAGCAAGGTTAACACACACAAACAGTTATGGAATRTTTAATTCTCCATAAATCTTTTGCTTCTTTTGCTAACAGGAGATGTTTGCTTATAAAATTGTATGCTTTTATCTATGACTAACTGATTTTTTACAGTATGAGATTTTCATTAACAGAATAGCATTTCTAGAAAGCATGAGGAGAAACTAAACTTCTTTTCCTGGGGCATGGTCTGCATAGCAATACACTATACTGATTTWACACATTTCAATTTTGCCAGATTGAGTGTTGAAGATTTATTTCTCCTGGACTCTCACAAGTTACAGCTGGAGAGTTTGAAAAGCAATAGAGAAGCCAGCATGGGAGCTAAACGTCAAACTCCTCTGGAATTTTGGAGTGTCTRCTTCTGAAACTAATTAAGTTGGCAGCAATAAATTTTCAGCCTTCCCTCACACTTTTTATTGTCTCTCTGTTGTAACTGTCACTGAGAAGCAACAAAATTCAGCAGTTTATCTGTATTGGAATATTGTTCTCAGATAATGTCGGGCTCTCTTCTGTTTACCTTGCAAAGGGTGAGTAAAGTAGATTAGAAATGGAAATTATTAATTCTAAACTCTCTGCCAATTTTGAGAATCTCAGTTAAGGAAAGTGTCTTAAAGGTTCAYTTGTTCCATTTTCAAAGGCACTGATAATGTTTAATTCTCTGTATAGTGTCTTGGAAAAGATAAACATAACRCAAGCACTGGACTACATTTCTACTGAAGGACTGAATGTAGAAATACCACCTTAAACCAGGATGAACTGTTAAAAACTGAAATAGTGCCAAACACTGTGACTATGAGYATGCATGATACAGCTCACAGACACTGACCACCACTGTAAAATAAAACACAGCCTCTCCAAACACCTATTCTCACTCTCTTCAAATCCACAAGGTTAATTTCCCTTTCTCTCCTCAACTCTGAGCACTCAGGAAGCGATCCACTTCTTCCACAGTTGCTGTTAGGGAAGGCTTAAACACAATTATCATAGTCAACCTAAGACTTTTCTGCTAGAAATTGTCTGCTTAAAATGATTTGGGAATGTCCAGGCTTATGATACAAGAACAAAGACAAATAAACAACACTGAGAGTAAAATGAGTAATACACATACAATTTAAAACATTCCAACTCCTTTAGTGTTTCAAATTCATATCCTGGTAGTGGCTTGAAATTGGATTGCAATGTAAGTATTTTTTCATGTATCTACTGTTAAATGGAAGTAGATGAAAATTTAAAGAGTTTATTATTAAGGCAACTACTGATGCTTTWCAATTTTTTATTTTACTTACTTTAATCTCTTTACTAACCTGCCACCAATTCGGATCTTCCCGGTTTACAATCTGAAGAATTTCTCCTTTAGAAAATTTCAAACCTGCTTCTTTGCATGGGATGAGGTTGTCATTATATGGATTATAATCAAAATGACACTTCACAAAAACCTGAAATGTGTAAAATTTAACAAAGCTTAAGCACTTTAAAATACATTCTGACTAATCTATCTGTCAAACTGAAGCAATGTCTTTACCTACAGCATAAAAAGCTTGACATGATCCAAGTTGCATTTGGCACATAAAATACAATCTAGAGGAAAGAAGTTATGCACCAACTGGGACAGAGTAATCAACAGTGCAAACCTTGGCTGAAGTAGCTTCATGATAAAAATAAAAAAATCTGTTCCATTTGGATAGTGTATTACAAAACGCTTATTTTTGCATTTCAGTATATATAACTCAACTAGAATTCTGACTTTTAATTACTTAAAAATACAAAAAAAAAAATTGGAATATGAGCACTGTATTTAAGGCTTGTGGAATCTTGAGAATTATTTTTGCCATTTACTCAATGTTTTAAAAGCAACAGGATATGCAATTGCTAGAGACTCAAATGATGCAGGGGAAGAAAGAGTAAGTTACATGACTGAGCTGGAAACATCTTTGACTCTCTTTGTTCCTGGCTGGGAAGCAAAGGAAGCAGTGTACCTGCTTCAGTAGAGCACATTTCCTYAGCCTCTACAGTGGAAGCATAGCCTATTATAGTCACAGGCATTAAGGTCCACTACCTGAAGTATCATCATACACAGTGTTTCAAAGGCACTGATTCAGCACAAGAAGTTACTTCTGCCATGGAGAAACTGCAACAACAGCAGGATACAGCAACAACAAAAGGATAAGGAAAAGTCACCATCTACATTCCTACTGAAGTCAGCAAGGCCCAGCTCRTCTGTTGAATTCAATATGTATCTATGAAACAGATTATTTGGACACCAATCATGTTATAAACACACACAGTTCACTGCATGTAGTGTGACTGTGGTCAGGTCATCAGGGTCACTTGAGGTCAAAGAAACATGCTTAATAGGTAGCACACAAATGCTTAACAATTTTAGACACTAAAGTCAAGCTTTTTAGCCGTGCATATTAGGTAAATAAACCTATATCTAAAATGCAATTAAAAGATACCTACATTTTAGTTTTCCTGGTAGTATTATATTCCCAAAATAATCAAAATATGTCTAATCCAGAACCTTAAACAATAAAGTGCTAAGCAGAAGTTCTTTTCACAGAATCATCAGAAATGTGCTACTGACCTGTTGAGGAATGACAGTGTCCCTGTAGCTGGGGAGAATTTTCAAAGTCACACTTCCACTGATGTTTTTCAGCAGTTCTTGCAATTCCTTTGGATTGTTTCCAACCTCATGGCCATTCACTTCCTTAATAATGTCACCYACATGCAGAAGACCTTGCCGATCTATCATTCCCCCATGAAGAATTCGGGCTATTACCAGATCGTTGTTCTCAACTCTAAACGTGACACCCTGAAAGAGGTACATGACACACAGTTTACCACTGTTTGAATTTCAGTTTCATTTTACCATTATCTCAAACAAAAATACACAGCTGTGGGATATTCCACCTACTCCTCCAATGAAAACAGACAGTTACAGTTATTACACTGTAAGGGCTCCCAATAGAGAGAAGCATCAWGTGACACATAAGTGCTTTCAGACAAGGTTTTCACATGATTAAAAAATGATTGTGTTGTTCTTGAATGCATGCAATCCTATCATGTCATATCAGGACCTAACAGATGTTGTCCTAGTCTGTTATGCCACCAGGTCATTCACCCCAGTGACTGCTTATTCACTGTCCCATTACTTCTTGGAGACAATGGGATGGAGTACAGAAACATATCTTCTTATTTCAACCTCTCAATATGGASCTTATTAAATTACACAACATAATGGAAATAATTAAAACATAATGCAAGAAATCAGGTACATACTAAYATTTTCATTAGCACTTTAGATTAAAGACACACTCATTTTCAACTACTTACCAGTGGTTCTCCTGCTCTTTTGTGAATTCCAAGGATACGAATAGCATCTACTGGAACAACCTGGTTGTTCACTGAAGAATTATTGACTTCTGGGCTAGAAGGAGGGGAATCGTAACATTTTGAAGCCACAATATCATGCGCTTCCAAGAGTGACTGAAAAGGAACAGAAAAATTCTTTTTTAAAATCTTGAAATAACCATTTGCAGAAGGATTTAGTGCTGAATAACCACTGAATCTGTCCTTCTGGGACCAGGTCATAATACTGTTACTTCACACGAAATAAAGCAAAAACAGACACACAAGTCTCACATGAACTGATAAGCCTACTGTCTTGGCAAATACGCTATCTTGAAAATAAAAATGCTGTTTCTTAAGGAAATATAGGAGAAATGTAATTAATTTGGGAGGAATGTGTGATGTTCTAAGGGAAGACAGCAGAAAAATGAGTACCTAAAATAGTCTTTCACCTAATGAGAGAGTATCTGAGCAAATGGTTACAGTAAACGAACAACCCACTGCAAAAAATGAAGACAACTCATCATTAGATATTTGTGCTTAATGAAATAAATTTTCCTCTACAGTAATTTGGATAATTACAGGTATGCAAGGATTTCGAGCCATCTGCAGAATGAGTGCTTGCTGCTTGCATAAAGCCAAGGCAGAATTCTAGCATCAAATGAGCCCAAGCTGACAGAATTTACTTTCTGGAAGATAAGAGCTCAGACCTGATAGTTAACGGTGCTTTCACCAGTCCACRTACATAAATACAAGACAGAAGGAGAAGATCTAAATGAATATAATGATGTTTGGAAGACAATGAAATTTAGGCATGATTTTCTCATAAAAGATATCTTAAGATAACTTAATTTTCAAATTAAGAAAAATTTAGAAGACAATACATACAGGTAAACCAAGACCAAACTTGTGCATTAAGACAGCAGAGACTTTTTGTCTTTCTGTCACATTATAGTGTAAGGTGTCCCTGGTGGGGGATCTGGAACAAGATGATCTCTAAGGTCCCTTCCWATCCAAACCATTTTGTGATTCTRTGAGAGGAAAAGGGACACCCTAYAGCCCTCAAACACAGCAGTCCAAGACAATGCATCCTACGGCACAGGGAGTTGCACTGACAGGTACAGAGAGAGGAGAAGCCGTAAGCAGAGGAGATGCCTACTGGGCYTCCAACTACACAGCTTTGTTTCAAACAGTAACTGGACAGATATGGTCTTAAGCCAGTTTACTGACTGGTGGTCACTGAAGTAGCTAAAAGGGAAGATGGGGACTATCACTGATACTGACATGCACATGCCAGAAGAAGACAGCAAACTACCAGAAAGCAGAGCAGGCAAGCAGGTGACATTAATGATTTGCTACACAGTCTGCTCCACCCTTCTGTAAGATGCTTCTAAGCTAAAGGCTGAGCAATCACATTAGGCTATTGCTAAGCTCAGCATGCAAGCCCCCCAAGTGTCACAAACCTAAACAGTCATTTTAATCTGCCCATTAMAGATGAACCTGCTGATATTTCAACTTGAGGTTAGAAGGAAGAACTAATTCACTGACTTTGCCCTTCCATTAAGACTGTGAAGACAGCTGCTTATTGTGGCTGCTCTGATACTGTGGACACAAACCAAATCAAATTAAATTGGAAAAACAATCATTTATTTAAATCAAGCAGCTGTCAGATGGTAGTAATTTCTAATTCTTCACTATCCAAGACACATCCAATCCAAAAACCAGGAGAATAGATCTTTCTGCCAATGTTTGCAAGCAACATATTTTTGCATCTTTCTACATTTSCAAATGAAACTAATTTGCATTGGCTATACATTTTAACAGAGTAGCACTCATAAAACTAGGCAGATACAGCAGTATGATATACCCAGTTTCTTTCTGGTCACATGCTATAACAAATTGTCCCGGAAATTTCTGACCACAACCCACTATACTTCCCATGGAGCCTCACASAGCTGCCTGTACAKYTCCCTGTCCTTTAATGATAAYGCAATTTATAGATTATAATCTGACSCCCAGTCAAAAAAGCCTACTAAGCTAACAGTCTGTGTAATCCTTTTCAAAATAATATGCTCTGCAAGATTCTTCAGTTCTTAAACCTGGTCTCATTCCACATTCTCATCCTTTTTAACGACTCAGTTTTATGGATAAGCATGAATTCTTGCAGCTACTACTTAATCATGTCCGAGTCACAGAATCTTTTTCCTGCTACTTACACAAATCCCGAGTCACAGTAGGACTATCAGGGACTGTACATTGCTGCCCACAACTACAAAGTGGCTACTTTAAGAAAAGTAATTGATCTCCTTACAAGGCACAGTTAACTTATTACTGTTCCACACCTAACTTTGAGTTCTGAAACTCAAGAATCTGTACCAGTTTTATGAGCCTATTTCCAGCCAACCAGTTCATGACCTACAGTCCTGAAAAACACTTAAGCACARGCACCTGGCAACAGGGACCATGTGTCTGTACCACTGCTGCACTACTCGCCAACATTTTATGTCACTAAGTTACTTTCTTATTTYGGGAACATGGCTGAGTGATCTGAGAAATACAGTTGCATGAACTTCTCTTGTTTCTTTCTGTGATATCGGAAAAAGTGATATCCYGTGTTCCTGCAGCTCCAGAGCTCCACTGGAATCTGACCTTTCCATACTGGCGCTGGAACACTTGTAAAACCACTGCCAAAGTCTGCAAAACAACATGGACTGATCAACAACCATAAAATGGTTCAAAGTTTCCTCCATACAAAATTTTCTCCTGTAAACAGGATCAGCTGACTATTTAAGACCGGGTAGCTGTAGAAGAGTTCTCAAGAAAAAATGGCAATATTGTCTGAATAAGGCATTTAGAACTCCTATAAAGCACAAGAGATAACACACAGTGGATACATAGTCCTGTGACAGAATATGATCTCTTTATGCAAGATACTGTCCGAAAAGAATCCATAAACTTAGAAGATATTGAGCTCTTWAAAGTAGTTTTTTATGGCTACATATATTTGACAGGTAAAAAAAAATAATTTTAGAAGTAATTAAAAATTCAGTAAACAAAGAAGCATTAAACATTCAAGGCCCTCCACAGAGCTGAAGCCAAGTTGAAATTCAACATTAGTTTTTCATAAGAAAATTMTCAGCACAATCTATACATGTTATGAAGCATTGCCCTGAATAATATAACTATTTCCTCAACTCTGATCTAAAGGAACAACTAAACTATAATCTGGGGGCTGTGGTGGGAGGGAACACGGAAGAGCAGAATGACTCTATGGTCTTGAATTCACAACTCCTTTACTAACACTCTAAGCCTAAAAGTATTTCAAATCTTTTCTTTCCTCTTTTATGCAGTAAATGTCTGCTAGCCTTCCCTAATCACATTATTTAAACACTAAAACTTAATAAAAGGACTACAGGCCTCTAATGTAAAAAGAGCTTTTTACCTTTCATGTAAAAAGAGCACTAAGTGTGGAAAAGTGAGGAAATAATTTATGGCCTTAGAAAAACCCGGCTGTAAGAATGCAGGAATAAGTGRGGAAAATAACCCAATGAATTCAACCAATATCTGTCCAGGACACAACTTAAGATCACATTTTCTAAAAGATCACTTTTTCTAAATGAAATATTTTAAAAGTATGATCAGTCTTACAAACCCAACTATTAGAAGACAATACCAGCTGCTTTTCAGATCAAGTATTTTATTGCCAGCAGAATCTATTTAGAATGAATGCCTTGCCTAATTCTTGAAAAGGTGAAAGTAATGAACAAGATATTCCATAAGAAGCAGAAGTGATTCTTCTGCCTATTTAACTACTCCAACAGTAGGAAAATTTTGAACATCTTCCTCTTCCCTCGAGGCATCTCTCTTACCACTCCTGTTTTCTTTTCTCCAGCTCCTGTCTAGTAAGATTTGCTACAGCTTTCTCCATGTGCTGCATGTGCCAGCTGGCTCTCCAACACACACTGACCTACTGGCCAGCCAYCAATACTGTAAAGCTCATTAGAATTTTCACACTTTGACCTCTGAAAAGTTCAGTTCAAACTAAAAAGAGTAAAAAAGCGGAAGGGATGAAAAAAAAGGGAATGAAAGGAGAAAGGAGAAAAAAGAGGGAACAGCCAGTCCAGCATAGCAGTACAGCCACACATGCACCTGTACTCCAGAGTTAGTACCTCCCAAAGGCTCTTCTACAAAAATGTGTAGAAAAAATTAAATCCTGTGATTCGGTATTTCTAGCACTAAATGAATGATATATTCAAACAAATTACTGCATTGATGTYTTGTGTATCACATTTTATATTTGATTGTCAAGGCAGTTTACAGCTGTAAGGAGATGCTGTTAAGTGGCACCAATAATYTGTAAAATACAAAGTCATCCTCTAAACCAATTATCAAAAACCAAGAGTCAGGTAGGATTGTTTACACTTTTACTGAACTGGAGAAAGGCTGTAAAAGACATTTTCTATAAATGCAACTGACATTGTATTTTTCCTTTCTCCCTTCTTGCAGAATTTGGAATATGCCTCCTTACACCAAGTGAGGCAGGCAGAAAGTATAGCACTCATTTCTTCGGTATTTAGATAATTTTCTGTTTCCTTTTCAGAGATGGAGTCTTAGACTTGAAAAGGATTTTATAGCCATATTTTGGTCTTCAATTTGTCCTAGAAGCTCTTCTAGAGTGGTTATAACTATGCTGTCAGTTAAATAAAAATAGTCAATTAAAATAATAGCACTTTGCTCTCAGCTGATTTTGTTGCTTGTCTCCACATAGGCAATGGAAGTACAAAATTAAGGGCTGAAAAGTACCTTAATTTTAGGCTTKGGAATTGAATCACAGCAGMTATAYCTTAAAGAAGTAAGCAGATAGGTGKTTTTGCCTGTACGCAGCCAAAACTACTCATTCTTTCTGCAAATGCGACTGAAGGACTCACAACAGACTCTAACAAAATAAATTCTAAAAACACAAGTTAAAGCTACTTCAGACTTTTTTTCAAATGAATTCCAGAATGATGGATAGGCTAGTTCTCCAGGGCAGCATTTAACTATTTTAACCATCTCTTTTCTCTTCCTTTCACACTTTTTTTTTYCCTTTTTGTGCAATCCAGGTTTTGCAGCAAGCAAAGTTACACTGTATTTCTCTTACATGCCCATGACTCACCCAACACTATAGGGAAAGCAGCAGCATGCAATAATCATGACATGAATTTTTAAACTGGGTTCCCAGGAAGAGTCAACAAACTGCAAAACAGTAAATGTGATGCTGATACTAAACAAATTMGTAAAACTCAAAATGATTGCACAAYATAGATCATAGGAAAGCATCATCATGCTTTAATAAAGGAAGTCATGTTTCTCAAATCTAGTCAGATTCCTTGGAAGAGTCACCAAGCACGGCAACAAGGCAGTTAGAGTTATTAATACAGATCAATTTCCATAAGGCYTTTGATAGAAGTCTTTGAAAGAAACCCAAGTACAACAGCATAAAAAGTAAGGTTTTCAGGTAGTAGAAAATACTGGCTAGAAAACAGAAAACTGGTGGCAGGAATATAGCATTATTCGTTTTCAGAATTCATGTCACCAGGTGATTTCCACAGGCATCTGGGCTCAGTTCTACACCTGTCGATACACTAACATGTCAGATAAAYGACCTAGGAAATGGGGATGAGAAGTGAAATGACAGTTTGCTGATGCTGCTGAACTATTCAAGGACTAAAASACCTGACTGTAACCTGCAGAGGAACTTCATGAGCAATAGACTGAGAACAAGGCAAGTGAAATTCAACAGACTGCAAGGGAGAACACAATCCTAGTTTAATATATTACTGACAGACTCAGAAATGGTATCTTGGAGATGTAAACAAYACAAAACCAAACSAAGCCTAACAATCAAWCCACCTCTACACTCCCTGAGYCYAGAGATACCWCTTCTTTACTGAAAGGGTRGTCAAACACYRGAATAGGCTCCTAAAGAGGTGATTGATGCCCCATGTCTGTAAGTGWTTAACAGGCATTTGGACAAYASCCTTAACAACAGGCTTTAATTTTCAGACATTTGGAGTGATGATCACTGCAGGTCCCTTCTAACCCTATTCTACTCACCAGCTGTAAAAAGGCAAACCAAACACTAGGAACTCTTAGACCATGAGTAGGATATGCAATGGAAATTATGACACCACTTTGCAAATCCATGSTGTATACAGCTTTGCTTCCCCTTCACTTTATTTACTTGACACAGACAGACACAATGAGGTATCTCAAACCACAAGTAACATGGAAAAGCCGATTAAGAAAAACTGTTCACTTTCTTCCTGCACAAGAGAAAGGGGATATTAAGTGAAATTGACAGAAGACAGTCTTAAATTAACAGGAGGCAGTTTCCACTCAGATATGTGAATGAGAGATTTTCACATGGGTTCAAAAAACAACTGAATATGCTCATGGAAGAGAACCACAAGTACATGACACTTYTTCTCACTCACAAGTCTAGGCAACAAATCGCTAAACCTTCACAACACATTTTGGAAGGTATTACTGTTGGCTTGTTCTTAGCCTTATGATCTTCACTAGATGCTTACTGCTAAGACAGGGAAGGAAAACAGAAGAGATGCTTGCTAAATAGACCTTTAATATGCAATTAGGAAGCACTAACAAAAAATCAGAGCAAAACTGTAAAGCTAAAGTTGCATATATCCAGTTTCATGCCTGCTCCTTATAAATCAAACAACAAAAAAGGTACAAGAAAGAGTATGAATATTCACATTCTGGTCCACCAGCTATTTTGGAACTTTYAAATTACATGTTTAAGTTGCTTAAGCCTGAACTAATCTGACACCAGCATTATGTTCTGCCTCTCTGTAGATCTGACCACTGAACAGAAATAAATGCTTGGTTTGCTTTGTATTGGCTATTCACACAAAATAAAATTTTTACTTGATTTCAGACTCCTACAGGCCGTTTCCAGTTTCCATCCCAAAGACCCTTTGCCCRAGATTCTCTTTACCTTTGCCATCTCTCTCCTGAGATCAGTGCAACAGTGCCTTTCAAAGTGCAGCACTTCAACTACTACACCCTGTTCATCTTTTGATCCATCACCCTCTTTGACTTTCAGCTTTATTTTCTCAATCTAAAACAATGGATTATTGTCAGGTCTGTCACTGCACCAACTGSCCCTCAGTTCTAATCCTTTTACACTTTAACTACCAATTCCTCCAAACTCATCCAGTCCAAGTACCAGTGTCTTCTATGGGATAGAAGACTGATTTGCAAGTTTATTCACTGAAGTCTCCAAATCACAGTCTTTGATCACCTRGCTATGATAGTTCTCTGGTCAAACAAGAGCACAAGGGAGACCAACACACTGCTCTTCAGGAGAGGCAGAGRAACTGTCACTACTCAGAGGAGCGGCTGCTCCAAAAGCTGATTTCTTGAAGTGATCCCAGTTCCAACAAGCCACAATACATCTTGACAGCATTTCCAGTGTTTATCCACAGTTAAAAAGTAAAGTATCCCACGGCTATATTTGTATAACTTGTAATGGAAAACTTAGCAAAAAACTGTGTTTAAACTCACCTACCTCAAAAATACCTATGACTCCRTATGTGTCTGCCAAAAGAAGCTTACTTATACTGTGGCAAAATGTTGCTTATGCTCTTCTACATGATACCTTTAACTAAGTTGTAAAGTCCATTGAACCTTGCCTAGAAAGGTCAGAATCTACCAAGGATTTTCAAACCTTGATTTTYGAGGCTCAGTACAGAAGCTGGTGACAGAATTAACGAAACAGAAAAACATCTGCTTTTGACAAGCATATGTCAACATTTCATTTAAGCAGAGAAACAGTGAGAGGTATGCAGAGTTTCAGCTTCAGCTGCAGTACAGATCAGACCACAGAAGAATTATGTTCATTCACTCCGCAAACCGTACGTCTTACACACGAGTAAGAATGCCAACAGCTGAAATGAAGTGCACAATGCTCGTGATCAGGAACTGAGATCACCTGGAAATGTTATGGATGAAGCAAGCCTTCAGGGAATTGTTACRGAAACTCCAGTCATGTAGGAAGTAAAAGCTTGTCCAAAATTTACAACAGAAACTCCAGTAGAATTTAATACAATGAGTGAAGATATTTTTGAAATTATATCAAAGAATAAAATCATRCTTGTTTGTAACCCCACATAGCTTATGCTTTACCTTTCATTTGGAGTAAAATCCTACRTATTACAGAGTTTGCTATGCTCATWATTATTCCCAGATTTGTATGTGGACACTGATACAGGAAGTTGGTAACATACAGTAAAAAGGTGGCACCTGAAAATGAGGCTCCTTGAGTATTCCAACCAGTTCTGCAATATTTTCATCCTTATTTACTAAGGGACTGATGTCTTCAAGAATTTCATTCACCAGCTCCAGGTTGTTGTCACTGACAGCCTCAAGTTTAGAATCTTCCAGTCGCTCATGAGCCTGCAAGATTAAATATATGAGACTWTAATGTAAGTAAGTTTCAAGTGGTTCAAATTTATAAACTTTTAAGGTAATTTCTCAATGCAATCTTCAGCTGGAAAGCCACAAAAATTATATATAGGGTAACCTGATTTATCTGCTGAAGGATTTTACTTGCTCAACTACATGACTCAACAAACTTTATAGGCAGCTCATGTGAGAGAAGCTTGTAGGTCCTTATCTCCTATATGCTATACACACCAAGCACTGCTCTATCAACAGTAAAGCACTTATGAACCTTTACTGCTTAGGAATGCTGGACAAGTACACCTTCTAGAAGAAGGGCAAAAGAAGAACTATGGGATCTTCKCAGTTTGCAAGAAAAACATTTACCTCAGACTCCTCCCATTCAAACACCCTTCAAACAGCCTATTCTACAGAAAAATCTGCATAACTGAAGGAAATGCTAAAGAAAGGTCCAAGTCAAAGGCAGCTAACAGTATCCTGAGCTGCATTACCAGAAGAGTGAGCACTACTCAGCACTGGTGAGGCCACACCTGGAACACTCTGGACATACTGGAAAAAGCCCAGTGAAGGGCCACAAATATGAAGGGTGTGAGGCATCTCACATTTGACAAAAGGCTGATGGAACTGGGATTGTTCTGCCTGGAAAAGAGAAGGCTCAGGGCAATCTCATCATGTGTATAAAAGGTATACTATGCCAAAAGGATAGAGGCAGCCTGTTCCCAGTGGTGACCGGTAACAGAACAGGGGGCAATGGGCATAAAATGAAACATAGGAAGTTTTGTCTGAATATCAGGAAATACTTTTTCCAGTGTGAGGGTGACTGAACACCAGCACAGAYTGCCCAGAGAAAATGGGAATCTCCCTCCTTTGAGACACTCAAAACCTGTCTGGATGTGGTCCTGGGTGGCTCTGCTTAAGCAGGAAGGTTGGACCAGATGTCCTCCAGAGGTCCCTTCCAGCCTCAGCCATCCTGTGGTTCTTYGATAATATTTAATCTATTTCTAGAACTATGCCTGCAATATAGTCTCTCAATCTCTGAATACTTCATTTATTTATCAGAGACAGTGCTCAATCATAGAATTAGGGAATAAGAGGAGGCCAAAAATAACTCAGATTCTCAATTAAGAGCTACTTTCAACACGATAGCAATGAGAAATTTACAAAAGAGCAATCACTTTGGCCTATAAAAAAAAATAAATAATAGGTATAATTCARAATCATCTAATTATACTTCCCACAGAAATAATATGAAGGTATGTAAGCACTTCTACTCTCTTATTAGTGCTTTAAAACAGCCAATAAAATAAAATTTTTCTAAAAGCAGAAAACATTGCTTCCTCAAATCACCTGAGTATTAAGSTATACTTCCTATCTATAAAATATTATTTCTGCAGGACTGATGACAAAACTCTGGAAAGGCTGACAGCATAAAGGCATTTCAAACATTCTCCAGCAATAACACACACTAACCAAAAGACTGTGATTACAAAGTTATAGGAAGCCTGGCACCTACATACATTCTCGTTAATAAGGGAATGCTATTTTGTATATAATACTGTAAACAATATCCTTCTTTTGAAGTTTACTTTTATAGCAAGTAAAAACACAAATCTCATTACTTTCAAACACAATTCAACTGCAAAACCTTTATAAGAGTAGAGAATATGCATTACCTTTTTTCTCACTCCTTGTTTTTAAAATAACACCACTAATAATATAATCTTACCCTTCACTCCAAAATCAAGGCCATGTATACACTAGGGAACAGAAAGTTTTATCAGTGAACAACCTCTGATCCTGTASTATGTTGAGAAGTAACACGATATGGAATGATATGAATAAGTGAAAAAAACCAAACAAACAAATAGGAATACCTAACTTAGATAATGCATTTTTTTTTTCATTTCATTTCAGAAACACTGACACTGAATTGAGCCTTTCGGTGCATTCAGTATTGCTCATACTTGCCAAATGTTCAAATAGTAAGGCTTTTACCTTCCAACAATCTGATATCCTAAATACTAGACTAAACACTTACAGATTGCTTCCAAGATGTTTCCTTGGCCTGGKTTAGGCATTCACTTGGTCTGCCGTGTACAATGCTAAAAGCAACAGTGTGACAGCAGAAATAATACAAAGTTTTAAGGTTTAAAAGAATAATTGACATCCAGGAGAAGAGGATTTTGACATGATAGTTCAGTAGCAAAACTGAGGAAAATTCATGTATGTTCCAAGTCTAACAAMTGTTTTCCAAAAAGCTTAATAATTCTAAAGACTAGTTAGGATTGAACACAAACATCAGCACAGGAAAAATATGGAGCTGGGGCTGTTAAGTCTGGAAGAGAAGACTCTAGGAAGACCTTATACCTGCTTTCCAATACTTAAAGGGGGCTTACAAGAAAGATGGGAACAAACTTTATAGTAGGGCCATTTCCAATAGGAAAAGGCATAATGATTTTGAACTAAAAGAAGGTAGCTTGAGACTAGATACAAGGAAGAAGGGTTTTAGGATGGGTGTGGTGAAACACTGCAATAGGTTGCCCAGAAAGATTGTAGATGCTTCATCCCTGGAAACATTCAAGGCCAGGTTGGATGGGGCTCTGAGCAACCTGATCTAGTTGAAGATAACCCTGCTTATTGCAGGGGGCGGGTTAGACAAGATGACCTTTAAAGGTTCCTTCCTATCAAAAACACTCTATGATTCTATGAACATCAGTGACAGGAAAAAAATTTTACAATTATTACAGTTTGTTCTCCTTCCCTCTACCACCTACTGAAAAGTGGAAAGGTTCAGTCAAAGAACCCTGTCCCAAAAAGTATCTATAATTTCTATCTTGTTGCCATTATTCTGTAGAGAAAAAGTGTGAAATTAATTTCACTCCGTTTTAAAAAATCAGCCACACTCTGCTCTGCAAAATACTATAAACTACTATGCTTGCCTTCGTTTATTTAAGGACCAAAAGGAGAAAGCAAGTTTGTATGGCTTATGGCACATCTCCCTAAGTTTCTTTTTGTCTTTTTTGACATATTTTACATAATGATTAATCTTAATAACTGACTAATAAAGCAAAACTAAAAAGCTTTTGCATTTCTGGCCTGCTTTGAAATTATTCTACTTAAATAATGCAGCCATCTCAGGGAACTGCTAATTCTGGTAGAAACAACTCTTCTAATAGAAAAGCAAGTTTATATATTTTTAGGGACAAATAGATATATATGTGAACTACTTAACGCTTCACCGAATGTGTTTTGATCTTCTCCTTATTTAGCATTGCTGGTTAAGACTGAGGAATTTTCCAAAATAATTACAAAGAAAATATGACTGCAGTCACACCATGTGAACACAATTAAAACCTCTAAGTATTCTAGATAAAGCATGTGTACAGTTAAGAATCTGTTTCCATTACAAGCACGTTTTTTTTACATCTGCTAGTCATTAAATTCCACCTAATTGTAATTGGCCATTAAGGCGCAAATTCTTGATAAGAAAAAAAGGCTTTGCAATAAACATTTTCTTTGTGATAAATATTAAAGATRACCTATGCAGCAGATACTTAAAGTTGTTTCCAAATAAGTAAGAAAATGCTTTTACTTACTCTAGTAAATTTAGTACACAAATCTTTCCCTCTGCAGTCATCTCATTAGCAGACGAGCCATTTCCATTACTTCTAAGTTTATTACTATGCCATATCTTCAACTTAAAACCAATTTTTTGAACAGCTAAACAGAAGTAAATTCTTACATGAATTCTCATGAGAAATTTTCCTTTCCAGATTTTCATACCAAACAAAATCCCTGAAGAACAATCCTTTAGCTTTACAGAATATTTCAGACCTGCCCAGAGGGCATTGCTTYCAGATGTCTATTCCTATTAAAGAGAAAGCTGTATTTAAGTTAACTGGGYTCTCCTCATGAAAGGAGCTTATTTTTATGAAGTAAGATTAAGAACATTTATAAGTGCTGTACAGTATTTGACTGCAATTCCTACTGGTAAGACCAGCTACATTTTAATTGGAGAGTCCAAAGATTTTTTGCAAATATCACCTTACATATTTATAATTGTTGCTACCACCTATCAAAAGATTTTCATAATCCAAGAACAAAAACTYAGGATAATCCATGTCTAGAGAGCTGACAATCAAAGGTAACAGCATTATGCTGATGGTCAAAGGTAACAGCATTACTCTGAAAGGGCTTAGAGAGAGTATTTTCCTGGGCATATCAGAAAGYAGTTTTGAGCTAAAGACAGAAAGAAAACTTTATGCCATGGAACAATGAAGGTTACTGCTCTCACTTTTCATCTCTGGCAAAAATGCTAAAAGTCAGAAGGTATATGGGTTTTGCACACAACAGTACTTACAAGACTACATTAAAATAAACTGCTTATAATTTCAAGTATTTTGACTTTTTCTTCATAAATAATGTAACCACATTATTTCTGTATTCTCTGAATTTTTCTTCTTCCTCTAGATTCTTCCATATAACAATTAACCAGCGTGCACAGAAACTATACCAAATCTTAACCTTCAAGCTGGCCTTCAAGTYGTTTAATAAGATGTACCGACAACATGTTGTTGATACCTCAATCCACACTCAATGTTCACACAACAATGTAAGAGCTAAAGTATTTCCAGGTTCTACTCAAAGCAGCAAATTTAAATACCTTAGCAAGTGATCTTACGATAGGGTTTTCCATAATTCCTTTAAGAAAAATCAGGTCTATTTCTTCAGCGCCTGTCGATGTCGGCAGATCAGTAAGGTTGTCTAAGACCTGCTGCATGGCTGCTGACAAAACAAAAACAAAAAGTAAGTACTGATCAAAACAAGCTTCCATAAGGAGCAAAAGCTCTGGGAAACACCAGAGTATTAACTTGAGAGAAGTTAAGCAGTCAAATACATCTACTGAGAGCAAGAGGACAGCACAGAGAAAGAACTTTGTGTGTGTGTGTGTTTGAAAAATGGAATAAAGATTGTATCCAATTAAATCCAGCCCCAGCACATTCCTTTCAAGATTTGCTACTAAGAATTGAAAAAACAAACAAGCATAAACTATGTATAAGGTATGCATAATCTTCCAAATACAATAAAAGCAACTTATTCAGTACTCTTTTCATTTCATCTCYTTTTCAGAAGTTTCCAGCCCTCATACGTACATCAACCCACAAGTTTTACAATGGTTGTAGAGGCAGATCCAGTGTTTTTTAAATGAACAAATAGTTCCAAACCAATTTTTTTAATCCAAAAATTTGGTCCCAAGACAGTCATTACTGTGGGGACAYTTGTGTCCACCCCCAGCAGTTTAAAACTGGTGCTGACCCACTGCACTCTGGCACTAAGTGCACATGATGCAGATACTAACATTGACCTGGTCACACACTGCAATGGGAAGTACATCCTGCAATAAGAAATGCGTTGTGCCTGCCCAGTACYCTGACTGGCTGAGAGAACTCCTCTTGGCTCAGAATGAACAATGCTGCCCAAGGAAATGTCAGATAATGCCACCATCCCAGCTGTCTGGTCCTATGAAGTTATCGAGGTGAGTGATGAGAATTGTTTGGGTTTTACTGCATTCTTTTAAACTCCTGCCAAGTCATATATGCATGCTCAAATAGACACACACACCGGTACAGAAATGAAATCTCCTGTTGAGATCCCCAACAAGCTGAAAAGCCTTGGAATAATCACTGTGTTCTGCAATGCTCTGCCTGCTGCAGGGTAGTATATATCAAGAGAATTAGAAAAGCCTATATGCCCCTTCTCCCACACAGGAATTTACCCTTAACTTTCCTCATTGCTTTATAATGAAAGCTATTATGAAACACTGCACAGTAACAGAACGAACTGCATTTCTCAACACCTACTTTCTGATTTCAATTCTTCCTAGAAAATTCCATCCCAAGAAAAAAATTTCCRACCATTCTTTCTGTTAAGTGGAACTGACTTTTCAACAATCAAATCATCTCATGCCACAGYTTAACTACAGCAGTGCATGTCAAAAGTCTGCATTATTTTGAGTATGTTTTAAGCATACTTCTTGCTTTGAAAAAAACGAATTTTCTGTTAAACCATGAGTAGGAGGGAAAATGACACTTCATGCTTTCAGATTTTGAAGCAGTATTATTTCTGCTTTGTAATAGACAAAGTGCTCTCAGCAATCACACATTAGGTAAAGTCACCAAATTACCCTGCAAACAGTACACAASTTCCCCAGACTAGGTATGCCCTACATCCTGACTAGCTCAGCTGCAGATCTAACTGCCTTCTTTCACATTTTCTCAATTCCCAGTTAGAAACTCGTGACTTTTAATAYAGTCATGCAAGCTATAATATCTGCAGAAGCAGACAGATGTTTCTGGCCAATTTAYGTCATAGGTGCTGCATAATAATGCAAGTGTTAGAATAATAAGCTTTCTTTACATTTTTAACARTTATGTAAATTGTTTTTAAGGGATTTCAGGTTAGTACTTTTGCTCCTATAAATAATCAGAGAAAGTACAAAGCTATCCTCCAGGTCAAAGCATGCATCTCAACYACCAGCTGCAATTCCACTGCTTGATGGTGACAAAACATCCATAATATAAGACATTCTTCACATAATATCCATGACAAAATGTTGTTTCTTACCTAAGCCTTTCAGAATTCTGCCTTAGATCAAATTACAAAATCAAGTTCCTACATAAAAATTTTACCATCAACGAGAAACTATTAAGAGCAATGTTAAGCTTCAGAAAAATGTCTTTCAAACTTTGTACAAGCAGACAGGGTATTTTGAAACAATTTGATKTATCCAAAGACTATTTAATGGCAGAGGTGGGAGGAGGGGAAGATACTTTGGGAAACAAACATATTATAGAAACTCTTCTTCTGTATCCATTCAACAGGCTTTTGTTTATTCACTTCCAGGGCATAAAAGATTTTATTAGAAAACAAACAGCAGGAGATATATTGTTTCCAGGCTTAATTACAAAATCTCTCAGAAGAATGTAGATACACATGGGATTACCAGTAGCACTCTTTTAAACAATTTCACTTTTTTCTTTCCAGGGGTAAAGCCACTTTAGCACTTTYAGGAAAGTATGTTATCTTATTCCTGAGCAGCAGGAATGAAAGCTGAAGATAAAAGTTCTTATGAAAGTTTTACTTAAAAAAACAGGTCCTACTAAGCAAGAAACAGACTACTAAATCTAAATATCCCAYCAAAAATTTCCTTTTGAGCCGCAYATATCTTTTGTGGTGAATCTGCCCTTGAAATGTTGATACAAGTTTCTCACTGGGGGGTAGAAAGCCCTGTAGAACTTATATTTAAGTCGGGCATACTGAAGAACTGAGGACTACATGAACAAACATAAACCAGGTGGTCAGAAGTGCTCCTTAATGTTGAGTACTTTGGTGTACAATAAAAAGCAAATGCATGCTTTTCCTTCAGTGTAAAACCAATTGGGTCTCTCTTCCCTCTCTTKTCCCATCTTTTACAGGAAAATAATACGAACATACTGATTTTTAGAGCTCTACCATTCATCTCCCTCCCTCTCTGAAGACAAGCCTGTTTTTACATTCAAAGACCCATCTGGGTAAAACTTTACAAACTCATGTCACAACACAAAAGCTTTTGTGAGGACACCCTGAGAAAGGCACGGTTGACTACAATAGTTAACAAAACCACCTAGGAACGAACGCACAACACAAGAGACGGACACCAACAACAGCCTCCAGAGACACCAGAAGGAACTGGGCAGCAGAAACAGGCTCTCAGTTGTGGAATGGCATTGAAATAAAGGGATTCTTACGAACAAGTGACAACAGAATTGAGTCTGAGCTGGGACTCCTAAGAGAAAATGAGATTACAGCAGGCCCCTCTTCACTCCAGCCCCTGGCTTTCGTGTCAGGGAATACACGTAGAATTAATTTCCACAGTCAATTTTCAAAGAACATCTTCACAACTGCAGCAAGTTTAAAGCCTTAAGCAAGACTCAGCAGGAGCATACTGGTCTGCTGTGTACATGCACTGAACAATTTAATCCTACTACACATATGACCCCATACTCACGGAAACAAGTTTGTCATTTGAACCCCATTTCAAAAAGGGAAAAGGGGGGAAGAGATGTTAATTGATCTCTGTGGCAAACAGCATGCATCCTGAGGCACAGGAATACAGAAATCACACTTCTAATGCAAAATTTACCAACCAGAATTAAGTCCTCCTAATTCCCACAGAGTTCTTCAGACAAGCAAAGGATGCTTCAAAGGTTTAACCTACACACTGTAACTTACAATAGTAAATTCGGATCAAAGAGAAGTAAAAGATATCCTGGTAACTCTTCTCTTCTTGTATKTGCAAGAAAAAGAGGTTTTCATCAAGCTCTCAACTGTGACTCTTCTACCAAATTTGATTTTACTCTTTCTTTCAGTGCCTAATTCTTGTCTACATTAATTCTATATAGAGGAAAGAGGAAGCATACATTTAAATAAATTTTCCAGATTTGCAGACAGAAGACAAATGTGTCACTCACTGGGGAAAATTGAAGCTTTTCAGAGTGAATACCTTGCACAGATTTTTTTAGCTCAGCTTCATTTTATTAGTCTCCAAGCTTATAAAATAACAAGAATGAAAAGAAAATTATGTATMATATATTTAAATAAACATGCATATTTATTTCCACATGGCCTACTCATTTGGATRGGAAGTTATAATAAATACCTCAAGGACTACTGGCAAGGCAGGTGCTCCACAYGAAGTCTAGAAAGTTAGATTAAAATCTTGTCATATACATAAACTTCAGAAGTAATTTCTTGTGTGATTTAAAACCTTTTCAAGAGGGATATATTGAAAAGTTTCACAAGACACCCAATAAACTCAGACAAAAGAAGATTAATTTATAACTCTGCCAGCCCTTAACCAATGACAACTCTGTAATGTTTTCCCATTTGTGTTCATGTTTTCTAAATAATKATTATTATGATTAAAGATAAGGCAAAGAGGGAAAAAAAGTTATTTTATGCTGACCACTTCTYTCCCCAGTCACAATTTATAGCATGTTTGGCAGTCAAAAACAGAGAAAAGGAATACCTATGAACAACCTAACATTCTAACAACATTTAACAAATTCATTCACCAACAGGCTACAGACCACAAATATATAAGACTAACAGAGCTGTCTGTTACTACTGCTACTGTCAGTTTCAGAAACCATATTTTATGATAAAAGTGTCTGGGAAAGCACTATGCAGTGTGCACACAGAACATTATGTTTGTGTTTTCACAGCCAGCAGCTKTGTGCACTGAGCAGGATCACACTCAGCAGCAGTTCCAGAGCAGTGAGCACTACAGGAGTGATGGAGCTCTGCAGTTCAGCCCCCTGCTCCTCTACAAATCAGTCACTTACTCCACACACGCTGCTGACTGCAGCAGGGTGCAATGACACTTGGGCTTTCAAATACCCACAGACTCTGCACCTCCTATTTGACAGACACTGCCAAGCATGGCAGTGCTGGGCCAGTGCAGCTACAGCGCTGTACAGCCACCTTAACTCAGGCATTCCTGGACAGCATTTCATYGTAGCATCACTCAGGCACCATTCCTAAGCAGGAACCCATTCCACAAGCAATAAATACAGCAGATCTCCTCTAAAAAGACAGTGAGATTGCCAAATGAAGGAAGCTGTTGTGCAGCATGAGCATTTTACTGACTGCAGAATCACATATGGCAATGACTTTGTAAAGGAAGAAGGAAAAGTCTAATGAATAAGAATGAATGTTCCTCTGGATACTTAAATTCTGCCCACTAAATTTTTGCATGTTGAAAAGAAATAAACGCTTAGAAAAGTTTATTAATTTTCTTTATTTCATTTTCTCCAAGTCTACTGGCAAGACAAGATGGAGCCATTTTAGCATACCTATAAATAGAAGCTCAAGCAGTCCCTACCCTTATCAAACCTGGCTCAACTCTATCTTACATGCCCATTTTTCAWGACTGTGAAGGTCACAAAAGCTATGGGGAAGAGCCAACAGCCTTTTCCCAGCTCTATCACTGCAGACATACTTCTTTCAGGCAGTGAAGTCTGTCTAAAAAAAGACGAAGCACAAATTTTCTGAYGAACAGATGGACCTCGCAGCTGCATCTTTTGGGAAAAAAAGCACTATTTAAAAATTATCTCAGCAAAGATAAAAAGGGAACAAAACATTAAAACTTCAAAACCAGCAGAATTAAAAGGTTGTCCTATTTGAATACATATATCATGACCAAGAATAAGATATTGATAAGAGATATACTAAAATCCAATATTAAGGAAATTTTGTTAGACTTTCTTAAAGGATTGCAAAGAAAAATATTTCAAGTACAAAGGCAATTCACTTAGCTTGATGCTCACTAACTAAGCCTGACGCTTTTAAGATAAACCTATATAGATATTAGGTATTACCAAGTTTTCTTACCTTCTTTAATTAGAAGAAGAATTATGCAAGCTTCAGGCATATAAATAATTAACTGAGGAAGGACACACATGCACACACGGACAAGCACAGAAAAAATGCCTTCAAGCACCATACAGCATAAACCAGAGCATGTACAAGCAAGTTAACTAAAAGTTTTTAAAAAGGCTGGATTTTAATTTTTTTTGTGTGTTCTTACATTTTAGCTAAAGATGTTAGGAAAAGTATATACTGATGTCACGTAAAGACTACTGTACTTTAAATGAATACTAGGACATGCCCCAGGAGAAATTTCAATTTTGGTGAAGAAAGACTSTACTACCCTTAGTTCTTCAACTACTTCAGTAGTTCAGTACTGGACAACATATTAAAACATCTTTAAATGAAAGCAAAACATTCAGTGTAGATGCYGTCTAAGGATACTTTGTGCTCAAAAGTTGCATTACAATTTCAACAAAGTTTCAGAATGTATCTGTACTCCACTCAAACAACAGGCAGAGCTTACTGCACACATCCATCATTCTCCGTGGTATTTTGCAAACAGTAGCTGGTTGAAGAAACTTCCATTCTCTGCAGCACCTCTGGTAATTAATGACAGATTTCATGAGTCTAAAATGCCAGGAAAGGGATGCAACAAAGTAAGTACAGCTTCTGAAGTATYGCTTTCTCTAATGTGTACCCTTCCAAACGATTCAAAGCTTTGCATCTCAGCATTTCTGCCACAGAACTCAGCATTATTTATCTGTTGCAGTATGACAGAGCCTGAAAAAAGGAGAACTGAAGAAAAGCTAACTTAAGACCACAGTTATATACCACAAGAACACGTAATGTGTAACAAACAAACAAACAAAAAAAAACCAAAAAAAAACCAAACAAAAAAAAACCCAAACAAACAAAAGAACCAGGTTTTTGTATCACATTGCTTGGTGGAACACTCAAGGGGAAGCCATGCAAAACCATCTATACAGTTTCATCCCATTCAAAARTTCAGCCTAAGGTCAGCTGGAAATCAATTAAGATTTCTTCCTGAATCAGATCTCTTCTTCCCACAAGAACAAACAGTAGACCAAAGGGAAAGGCGACTTCCACTCYATGTGTTATATGCTTGCATTTTGTGGCTGGTCTCCAATCAACACTGTCATAGTGGATAAGGCAAGCTGTATGTTGTGCTCCACTTCTGAGGACCAGGCATCCAAGTAGCAACTGGTGCAAGCTCAGCCATCAACATCTTTTTTCAACCATTTGCAATTTTGTCAAGGAACACTGGATAGGCTTATTCTCAAAGAAGAAAGCTAAAAATTCACAAAGATTGCAATGTACTCTACTATCASTGTAAATGTCATGGTTCAGAACATCAGTTACAGAGCTGTTCTGTRGTGTGGTTTGTGTATGTCTGCAAAAAAGACAAGGTATTTTTAATAAACAAAAATAGATATTCTGCTGTGTAGCAAAGCAACAACACTGCACCTCCAGAGACCCATGATGAATCTGATTACCAGAGATGATGTTGGTTCCACTGCAGCTTGCATCTCAGGGGTGTCTGCATCCTTCTATCTGAAAGTTCCTGATCACTCAATACATATCAGGAGGGTATCATTAAAAACAATCCACACTTCAGATACCTGGGCATTTCCTTAATTTTGGGCAATAGGAAATCTAGCTTAAACAATTCTTTCTGGTCCCTTTCTTTAACCAATAGTTGTTTTTTGTTTTTTTTTACATCTACCAATGTCTTAGTTTTTATTGTTCTAACCTAAAGAGGGCAATTTTCTGCCCTTCAGAAGGTAACTTCTCCTCTCCTGTATTAACCTGGAAAGAAGCAAGCTTGGCATAACTTCCCTGTACCTCTTCCAGCCTGCRCCTTATTTTCAATATAGACTGTCAGAACTGTGCAAAATGTATGAGACAAAAGTCTCATGAGTGCTTTGCAYGACACCATTAATACTTCCCTTTCTACTGATACAGAGAGATAATAAGATCTATTTTGACCTTCTTACATCATACTGTCACCTCAATCTACTGGTCTGTCACAAAACAGTACAAAGGATCACTTTAAACTTCACCCTACTCAAAATKTAAATTTGTAACTGAACAAAGTGTCCTCTTTCTTCATTGAAAACACTAYWTGTATATTTTGTCCCATTRCTAACATTCTAGGTTTCAAATTAGYTTTTGGCACTTTTTTGTTGCTCTTTTGATTCAGTGAAAATGCTTAGACAAGAAATCCACCAGAAACCACATATCATCCAGATACTACTGCTGCTTTTAATACTACTTCCTTTTACAGCTTTAAGTGTAGGAGACACTGAGGAATCCTAACAATTAAGAGTTTTATGATGAAGAGTTGTSATATCAAGTGAAATAAGGCTGTATCATAACACATTCTCAGAGTTATTTCATAATAACAATAGAATGCTTTTCTAAATGAAATCTTAACACATATTTCAAAATCTGATTGCTTCTTTATGACTCAGCCACTTTAAAAACTACACCACTGCCCTTTTAACAATCACACCCATATGTTAACATTTCATGCATGTGCTGTTGCATTCCTCTGTTACTGTGAARCATTTATTGAATTATCCCTTCCAAACTAAACACTGGAGTATTTAAATTAGAGCTGTACCAATGCAGGCCTAAAAATATTTTTGAGGTTCCACTACAGATGCCACACAAGCATTTGAAAATTGTTCAATAAATTATACACAGAAAACTGAAATATAAGACAGCTTTTTGGAGAACAAAATTAATTAAGGCACTTTAGAAAATATTTAGACTGTATCAACATATTCTTTAATAAAAAGGGAAAAACGTATTTGATTACTTTATTATACCTAGCCCATTTTTCTATAGAAAGAAAAAGACCCACCATGAAAAACTTCCATAGGGAAGTGTTCAGTTAATTCAGAGCCTACTTAATTTCCCTCAATTTTATATTGCATCCCAGCCTGAAGGCAAAAAATTTAAGACAGGAGTGAATCTGCAAAATTGAAAACATTTAAATGAAATTATCTCTGTCCCAGCACCTCAGTTTTCCATTTTACATGATTACTTAGTATATTTTCCAAAAATTTCACTTGAAATTCATCCCTAAACTCTAATGCTCCCACTTCCACTAAAGTAATCTCTCTCATGCACACACTCCCCATTTCTGCCCTAACAAACTTATTGGAAGCAGTAAAAGCAATTCATTAAATTAACGATGGATGTTCTAGTTCAGGGTGACTTGCAACAGGAAAATAAAAAAAATGTTTACTTCTTTACCTTTGTCATATGACAGAATTCTTGCTTATTTTAAGGACAGAGCTAATTTTAGCTTTACCTAAAATTTCCAAAACACAGTTGGAATGTTAGTAGTGATGTAGTGGATAGAAACTGGCTTTTCCAAATTTGTTTTCAGAATAACACTGCTGATTTTTCTAAATAGTGAAAAATATCACATAAAACCTTTATGCTTTAATGAAGAGATGGCAAAATATGATGGCATGTCAAAAGCTTACCTGACCTTCAGGAATTCCCAAAATACACCTCTGTCACTTTCCTAGTGAAGAGACTATTCTAAACCATTCTTTCAATTCAGTGCAGTCAAGATTTACACAACTGCCTATTCATTATCCTCAACAGTTATGTTCCTTCAGTCCTTTGAAGGGTATGTTCAAGAACCCTGGAAAAGGAATAAAAAGATCAGCTTGACACTTGTATTTCAAAAGGAACTGAAAAGCTTTATAGAATAAGTCACACTGCCCTTAGTCATGTGYTTTATCCACCTGGACTACTTCCCCATATTATGTTATTACAATTTATCTGTGGTTGCAAATATTTAATGAATAATAAAGTGGGAAACTGAATTKCAATTTAAGAACATCTAGGCACAATAATATTGGGGAAAATTTATTTCTACTGGTTTTTGGGCAGCTTGTATTAAGAACTACATGCTTTTAAGGAAATTGCCACTTTGAATGTTCACCACCTTCAAGTTAAAGTCAATTTCCAAGTTACTGCTGTGAACCCTGAATGACAGTGTTCTGTGTTGAACAAAATGGGCACAGGCAGTGAAACAACAAAGTGTGTCTTCAAAACTCCATGTGATGCACACTGACATGTTTGAAATTTTCTACTCTATTTCCTCAGAATATCAAGTTGAGTTTCATAAAGTTTTGCCTAAGAACTGAATTTTCAGTCACATATCCCATCATGCCAGCTGAAGCAAAACCAGAGAACTTTTAACTAAATGTTTACAGTGAAAAGCTTGCAACTAAATACCTAGAAATTTTCTAATTATCCAATGACTCGTAAGCATCTTCCCATTCCATTCTTTCTTTGGAAAACCTTGGCTGCCCTCAAGCTTCACASTGCCCACCAGAAATCTCTCTTCAGTTTACTCCTCTTTGATAGCAGCAACTATTCGTGTATATACTTCCCTTCACCCACAATACAAGAATTACTCTCTCATTAATTGCTCTAAAAGCCACATTTTCTACATTTTTCAGTTCAGATGTTTTTGGGGTTTTGCTTTTTTTTGTTGGTATTTTTTTGTTTGTTTGTTTGGGGTTTTTTTTTATTTTTTTTTTTGTGTGTGGTTTTTTTCAAAGAAGTACTGGCAAATGTAAAGACAGCTGAACTTTTCTTCTTAAACACTACAAAACTCAGTGAAGAATAATGTCTGTTGAGGCATTTCATCATTTTCTGAGACAGGCAAATTGCTGTAAATCTGAAAGTAGTGATGTTTGAAACGACAATTTTTACTGATATGACATCATCYCTTTTATAATGGCTTTTCTTATAAAAATAAGACCATGATGGAACTTGGCTGTTTGACTGCATCTGGGCCATAAGAATTTCTACAGAGGGGAAAATAATAAAAAAGTTGTAAGATAATGYCTTTCTCAACTTCAAACTGCAATTGCTGTTTCTTAAAAGCAGTTCATATGCATCCTCATACACTCTCTTCAAACCTATTTATGCYGAAACAATAAAAACTGCATTATCTTAGTTTTCACTCAAGTCCTTTGTTCTGTTGTTTCCCACATTGCTAAGAGGTCTCAGAGAAAGGGGTGGGAGGAGAGAAGAGAGGAAGATACCAGTACAAGCAAGAATCTTGTTGGGTTTTGACAACAGAACCGCTCAGATCTGTACAACTTTGGAGGCCCAGTTACCTGGMTATCAGTAGCCACAACCCCTTCCAATGCCAYCCAYAGAAGAAAACTGGAGAGGACTTCCRAAAYAGCCTATTGAAGTCCTCCCATGTACAATCAGCAATGGTAGGTTGGGGACCATGAGTCTTTGACCCCAACCTTGAAATTTCACTGCAATAGATAAATAATTCCGTATTTCAGCTTTTCCACAAGAAGGTTTTATGAAGTCCAGGTCCTGACCTGGAAAAGAGTCACTGCTTTGCCAACCACCTTCAGCCATGGCAGTTGAGAGGACTATTTCAACTGGCACCAAATGAGTTCTCAGAGCTGTCAGTCCCATCCATGGTAATTTCTGCTTATTTTACTCCCTGTTAAATTCCTCTTTACCTGAAGAGTACWGGGCCTAAGAACAATATAAAAAGAGAGCAATGTAACCTCCTATGGATAAAATGGTTCCTTGGACACAACTAGTTTTAAGACTATGGAATAATTTAACATGAAATTACCTTCAAGTTCCCAAAAAAACTTGAAAGGGCAATGATGTCTTTTTCCATAACTTCCTGGGCATTGCAAGGTCAAAAACACATTGTTGCCAGTACTTATGAATGTCATTAAAAGAAACAAGTCCTAYCTCAGTAGACAGGTTATAAAGCACATAAGGTAGTACAAAATAGATGCACTAGTCATAGTCTCATGCAAACTCGGCACTGAAATTAAATGGACCCATTCTTCCTCRGGATTTTGAAAGGTCTCAAACAAAACATAGTCTAGGAGTGCATTTTCAGAAGTATAAATTCCTATCTGCAGAATGGAAATCAACCTGTTATTTTTCAAATAATCAGCTATATTTCTTTCACTTTTCACTACAGTGTTCTTGAAGACATGCCCAGTACCCAAAGGGAATCTTGATTCTGTTTCAACTTCTCAGAGACCCAGTCTGTTAACAAGGCCCCAGAAGACCTACACATTCCACTTGTCATGTGGTAGAAGAACAAGTCCTGCACTCAGAACAAAAACTGGCTGACTGTCTGTACTCCTAGAGCAGTTGATACTTTTAAGCAGTCGAGACTTGCACTTCCCTAAATCAACCGATCCTGATACCTTAGCTACATGCATCCTAAAAGTCAGCTACATGTGTGTGCAAGGTTGTAAGGACGGCTGGACTGCAAGGACACATGCTACCTTGGTTTTGGTCCAGTCAGGAGGGRAAAATGGCTTGAAGAAACAGATCTAATAAAGTAAATCACACACAGACACAGGTAGACTCCYAGAACACCTGTCCCTGGACAGATCCAGTGGCACACTAAAAAMGGCAAAAGCCCAGCAGCCTGGTAAGCATTTATTGGATTGCTGGTCTAACCTACTGGCATTAATCTGCACATTGAAAGATCCACTAGAAACATCATATCTTCATGGTGAAACTCCCTTTGGAATGCTTAGTTTGGAAGAGGCCTCAACAGTACTAACCGCATTACTTGGAAAGGGACCTTTTTGTTTTCTTTAATATCCTTTCCATAAATCAAGCTTAGCAATGGCACTGAGTATTTCTCTACAATAACTTGTCATGGTTATAGCAATCACACTTGATCCTGTAAGAAGAATTTGTGYTCAATGACTGAAGCATTTGAAACATGAAAGAAGCTTTCTCAGCTGCAGAAAATCTGGCAGAGATTCTGTTTTTCCAAACAGTGTCAGGATTTAAATACCACATCACTTCTCAGCGCAAGTTTTCAGACCCAGACAAGCCAACTTTCACACAGAAGGAATCAACACTTGTTTTTTAATACCAGAGAGACTGCTTTGAATGARCTCCTGCCAGTAGTTCAAAAAAGAAGCCAAGTTTCTGAATTGAAAAATTCTTTTCACAAATTAATTACCATGCCCCTGTCCAGAACAGTGGACATCAAGGGCTATGAAGGATAAAGATACAATCAGGCATGCATTACAGTGGCTCAACATAGGATTAAATTATGGCTGAAAGGGTAGAGAATTAAATAGTCTCATGATAATTTTTTTACATACACTCTAAGCACTTGAAATTCACAATGCAGTTACATAAATTTCACACGTGCTCCAAACTGTGATCTTCCTGTGCTTAATAAATGAATTGTTAGCAYGTCAAACAAGTTAAAGCAGAAGACACTAAGAAGCCCTGTAATTTCCTGGTCTTGTGTGCCAACCAGAAATTTGAACAGAGAAACAGATAAAAATTCTCATCCATTCTGAAYACCAATAGGACACTGCAGAACCCTTCCCCTAAAGGACTTTTACCAAAGACTTACACTGTTTGTCAGTTTTCCTAGTTCTTTAAATTATGTCCATCACTCAGCAGGCAGTTCTTGATCCTGACAGATACCTGAACCTGAAAGGTATCTTTTTGTGAGAAAGGAACACTTAGAGAGTGCTGTATGTGTACACATCAGATCTCTCATTTCAAATTATCACAAAGACTATCTTAAATTCAAGACTTAATAAAATGAATAAATCAGTGTAGTAATTCTACCAGCCTTGCTCTTCAGTAATTGGGCTTTCCAAGAACAGGTGGATACAGATTTTTCTGTATGACAGATACATAAAAACAATGCAAAGACTAACAAAATGACAGGTTTACAGCACAGAACAAATCTGCTTAGTGCTGCCGAGCGGYAAGACTCCACCATAAACTGGAAACATGAAAATATTACTGCAACTGCATCCCAGACMTTCTTGCTTCTGCCAAACTTTTTAACTTGAATCTACTGTGCTAACAGTAAAGCCATACAACACGCAGTGTCCTRTGACTTCTGACGAAGGAAAATAGATTCCATTAAAGACACACAATGCAGTAACAGCGTCCCAAACAAATTCACAGACACAGCACTTCYAACACCTTATACAAATAATCCTCTACACAAACTCGCTGACTTTAATCCTTTGAAGACTTTTGTCGGATTATATTTTAGGAGGGGTAGAGTATATATTTCAGTGAGTTTAATCACCACCAAGATGCACAAATTYAAGATCATCTTAGTGTCAGATTATCCCTCATGGTTTTTTGCAGTCATCCTACCAGCCATGAGAGCACAGGCATGTGCACATACCCCAACATCAGTGTTCAAATCATTTAGCCAAATACCCTACCATACATGGAGAAGTTAATCATTTCTCCAATACAAAAATAAAGTTCTGTTTGAGAGCTGAAAGTCCTGAACACCTATTCAATAGTGAATTATATGAAAATTTATTGAATAAGAGAAAAAAATGGCTGGAAAGTAGGCAACACATTATGATGAACTTAGAAAAACTAGATACAGCAAAAGCAGTAGCTCAATAGGAAAATTTAAAAMCATGAAATGTCTTACATGCTCCAATTGATGGCCCAAGAAACCACACCTTGTCTGTCATTTTTGTACCTAGTCCAGAACTACCACATGGTGCTTACACCATGCTGGAATGGGTAGTGTTTAAATGGAACTGTCACCTGCACCACCTGTCTTCATGTACACGGACTGGTACTTCTACATGGAAGATGACACACACTTCTTCAATG